TCTTGGTACCTACAATCGTCCCAGGAGAAACTATAAACAATGGTCATACAAAAATTTGAAGGGAAACGTAGAGTATTAAGCTATTTTTGAATAATGGCTGTATGATACAAGTCTTAGAAAGTTCCCATATTATAGGATTTACTACATTTTTATTGGCTCACCGATTGAGAGTTGCCAACTCATGACCCTGCTGTAACCAAATATGGTAAATGAACTTGTCCTAGAGTTTTATATCAGTTATATATCAGTAAATATATAGCTCATTGCAAAAAGGTTGTGTTTTAATTTGAAATTGGGGTCATTTCGTGCACCTCGACCAGTGTGCTGCAATTTATCATCGCTGTTTTTTTTCGCCATTTTCTTAACTGCTAAAGAGAAAGAGAAAGAGAAAGAGAAAAGAATCACTCGCACTAGGACATGTCAGTGATCTAGTATCACTGCAACCTAGTCAAATACTATCATACCCGTTCAGCTCCCAAAAGGGTTTTTGACCTTGAAGAAAGCACAACAGAACGCGGATGAAAGAGACACCGACGCCATTGGTCAATTTTCTGCAGCCAATGGCAAGTTAGTATTTTTGATGCTAGCCACCACTATTCTAACACCCTGTTTCGCTCTCTGCTCCTAAGATTTTACCAAAGTAGCAACTGACGTGGAAAGATACAGTTCCGAAACGGCCGTCTTGCTTAAGAATTTATAACAGTCGCATACACTTCGAAACACTGTTAAGCAAAAACCAAAGTAAATACCTGCAAAGGAACTACAAGTCATCGCGCTCCAGTCCAAAGACTCACTCATCTCAAGAAAAACTAAATGGACTGCATCAGCGCTTAGAGAATGATCTTGACTGACACACAGCATAATTCTCCATACTTGATGTAGTTTTAGTTTAAGCTACAGTGTACAATTCGAATCTACAGATCTCCGGCTCTATCGTAAAAATTCAACATCCTGCAAACAATAGGGCCATTTATACGAGGAAAAATAAGACGCGTCTTACATAAGACGAACTGTACCATTTATACGAGCATGTCTTATCTAAGACAAGAACAGCTCGTATAAATGGTTCGCGTGTTATTTCTGTTCTTGACCGTTTTCATGTGAATGCTGCCCGTAGCAACGGCAATCCAACGTGGGGCGCCAAAAATTTACGCATGCGTACCTAACGTTCGCGTCTTATGTAAGACGCGAAGGTCATTTATACGAAGTTTTTCTCGTCTTAGCTAAGAGGCGTCTTATCTAAGAACATGTGTTAAGGGCTGTTCTAAAATAAGACGCGTCTTAGCTAAGCTGCGTCTTATTTTAGACGAAATGTGCCGTTTATACGGAAAGTTCGCGTCTTATTTAAGACGCGTCTTATGTAAGGCGCGTCTTATTTTTCCTCGTATAAATGACCCTAATAATTAAGAGCTGGGCCCAGCGCCATACTGACATAGCAGAAAAAAAACACATTCACGGACAAAGAAACTTACATGACATGCATGCATGTAGTTACTCAGATCCAGGCATTTCTCTGCCATTTCGGAGAAAACCAAAGAAACAAAAATCTTTATTTAGCCATAAGAAACAGAGGTCAAAGAAAATAAAAACACTTTATAACTGCATCTGAGATCAAATCTTATCAGGAACACCTACAGAAGCATAAACCACAGGAAATGATTATTCAGTATGCATGTAACAGACCAGCTTCGTGACCTGTTAATGTAAACCTAGTGCGGCAAAAACAAGATTAACTCAGTCAAAGTTTAGAATGCTACATACACCGTGTAGTGCTAATAACCGGCTTCGCGCGAGAGAAAAAAAAAGAAGTAGTGTTTAGCATGTCAACGCTTATTTCCTACTATCCAAGTGTAACCAAGGAGGATAATAGGACTAAAGACGATGTAAAGAAATTTTCACGACAAAGGATTATCAATAGATCTTTTTCACAAGAGGTCACGGCGGCCAAATTTGTGTACAAAACAATGAATCGGCGGCCATGTTTGTGTACCCAAAAAAAGCCTGTGGGCTTTGAACTCTGACATGTTAAAACTTTCTTTTATTCCAAGCAATTTGCAAAGCTGCTGACCACGTGACTGAAAACGATCTATAGCAGCCTTCAGGGAGTCAATAAAAATGCAAACATGCACACGTTTAATGGGCCGTATTTTTAAAAAACCGCAACACTCCTTGCTTTCCGTCCAATATTTTGAATTTGCATTGTTTCTTGGTGCCTAAAAATTGTACAATCGAAGAAATTGCACAATGGTCATGCAAACTTTTGGCGGTAAAACGATATTTTTGAATAGGAGCTGTTTGATAGATCGTTTCTAGTCACGTGGTCAGCAGCAGCTGCTTTGCAAATTGCTTGGAATTAAAGAAAGTTTTAACATGTGAAAAGAGTTTAACTTCCACAGGATTTTTTTGTACACAAACATGGCCGCCGATTCATTGTTTTGTACACAAATATGGCCGCCGTGACGTCATGTGAAAACGAACTATGGAAATCCTAACAACTCCCCATATTATTGGAAATACTACGTTTTGATTGGCTCACCGATTGAGGGTTGTCAACTCATGACCACTGTTGTAACCAAATATGGTAAATGAACTCGTCGTAGAGTTTTATATATCATATATCAGTAAACAGCTTATTGCAAAAAGGTTGTGTTTTAATTTGAAATTGGGGTCACTTCGTGCCTCGACCAAAGTGCTGCAATTCATCATCGCTGAACTTCATCCAACAAGCTATCGCCATTTTCATACGTACGCTGTATATAGGACCAAATAATGAACAGGGCAATCTTCTTGTTGTGTTTTGAAATTGCTGCTGGCGTTTTAATGGTGAAAAAAACAGTGAGTTCTTGCCTGTTATAACAATGTTACTTCTCAAGCATTGTTCTCTAATGTTAATGTTAATGTTGTCCACCTCTGGGAATTAGGTTTTTCAGACTCCCGCAAGTCCAGTTTAAGCCACAGTAAAACGGGCAACAAATGCAACTTGTTTTGCAACATTACTGCAAAACGAGTTGAAAGGCAGCGATCCTGCGCTTTTAACCATCAACGTTAGAACCTTTAAACAAAGAAGGTTGCAACAACCGTTTTTGATAGTTTTACAAGTGAACGGCATAAGATTATAAAAGAACAACAATGTGAGATGCGTACATGGATGCTTTGATACTTGATAATGTTTAAAGATACAATTCGATAAAAAAAAAATGCAATCAAGAAAATACAATCATTTCCTTGTGTCTATATCTTCTATACTCCACTCTTATTTATTCTTTGCCTTCATGGATAACTAATCGTAAATTTTAACATTCATCCCACAACTGTCTATAGTTTCATCTCTCCCTGGACACGTATATAAATAAGCTATTAAATTCAGTTAAGTTCTTTAATCCGTTCTATGGTTTGTTGGTAGCTTTACACCTAGCTGGATTTCCTTTCGGTAATTTGTATTTAAATGTCGCTGCCACAAAAAAGCCTATAGTAAATAATACTATAACCCAACCATACCAGAATTAATCCAGCGAGCTTTTGTACTGTGCCAAAACAACAAAAATTCTTCGTTTAACTTTCCTTGTATATGTCTTGTTCTACAACAAATTCTTTGAGAAGATTTAATAAAACAACAGAGCGTTGATAGCAAACTTTGTCTTAAACGACTTTGAGAGCAATTTCTTTATATTTCACTAAATTTGAAATATTTCGCGCTGTTGACCCTTCCTGTCATCAACTGGTCTGTGGAAAAAACAGGCTTAGACTGCGTTTTACGATTCACAAAACAGCCAAGCTCTTCAACCAAGAGTTTCCCAATGGTAATCTTTGATTGTGGATTCCAAGCTGTAGATTCCGGATCCCAAGTGCTGGACTTTTGATTCTTTGTCACTGGCGGAACTTGGATTCCGGAATTTTAATTGTTAGCGGGATTCTCGATTCGTTGAGTTGAATTACTGTCTATCTTTTACTGCCAATTAACTGATTTTTGCCTCGATTGCAGACTAATGTCAGGAATGCACGAATCCGTGGTGAGGACTTATGTCTTAAATTTATATTAGGGCAGGTGAATAGAAATCTACCTAGAAGTGTGGCTTACTATTTTTGAGCCCCCTGGTTACTCTAGGCCAAATACGAAAGGTGCACATGCACAAACTTAAGAATCGGGGGAGGTGCTTACTGTGAGATAGAACCCTTAGTGCCTTGATAGACTCGGGAAAATTGTAGGTGATATCAAATATAAAGTTACGTCTGCAGGGTACTCTAAACTTGCATATGACGGGTCATGTACCTACCAATAGGAAGGAATCTATGTGCTATTCGCTGTGACTTGCCTTGTTTTTCAATATATTTGTTTTAATTTCTTACTTTTGAGTTGGTAGGCTTCAAATGACAGGCACTGAAGGCAATAAAAGGCTTTGCGTTCCCTCGACCCTGCAGCACATTTTGAGGGTCCCGGAGAAACAGATCTCTTCCTGTTTCCCTTAGCGCCCGGGTATCTCGGGGGGGGGGACACTACTGTATATGGGTTATATGGTAAGTGCTCCTCTGAAGGGTATGGTTTTTAAGCAGTTTACTCTGGGATAGGGTATATAAGTCAGAGGGTTTGGGTCTAGAAGAGGGTATCATTTTCCAGTAAACTGATGAGTTCTTTGAAGATTTTGTTTAGACTAGGGAAATCAGGAATTACCATTCAAGAATACAAAAATTGAAATCGGTTTTGTTTTGGCTCGACTGTGCTAGTGACCTCCTTAGTTTCTAGAAAATAGCTACTCTAGGATATGGGGGGATTTGGGGAGTTTGGTCAAGTATAATCTAGCAAAATGCACTTGAACCAGCTCTGGTATAGGCTAAGGTTTCCAGATTCCAGGCAGCATATCCCCACCCAAAATTCCTAAAATACCCCCTCTGGGAGCCCAGCTATTAAGTACCTACATCTCTCTTGGTGCCTATAGTCCACTCATGTTTTTCTTGATCTCTGTTCTATAAAATTACAATGCATTTTAGGGGAAAAGGTGCTGCATTGTGAAGTAGCCATTGTGGGTGGTGGAATTGGAGGACTGTATACAGCAGAATCTCTCCTTAGACACGAGAAAGAAACTAACGTGTGCTTGTTCGAGAGAAACGAGCGTCTTGGTGGACGATTCTACGATTACGTGTTTCCTCAGGTGCCGGATGAAACTGTGGGTAGGTGTATATGGTTTGTATTTGGGCCTTTACTTAGAAAAGCAATGAACACAGGGTGCTTCGTGGGATTTTTGGCTGAAGTCGCCGCGTGAGGTCATGGGAAGGGCGAAAACTTTGAGCCTTCCCAAGTGTCCGCCTTTTTCAAGTTCTGCATGATCTTTTTCGCTGCACACTATCCCATGCCGACAGATGTCATGCTGACAAACTGCATGGTAGACAGACAGGTAACCACATACAGACCTTGATCTACAGTAATACTATTAATATATAATACAAACAGCATGCAGTAACACATAAAATTCCAACAGGTTTACTGACTTTTCAAGATAGCTGTTAAAAATGGACTATTACGAACTTTTCATGACTGTCTAGAGTAGGCAAACGCATATAGTCACGTATGGATTGAAGGAATTAGGTCCATTACAGAAAAAAGTTAAGATACGTAAACATGCCGTTGCCAAATCTCTGCGTCTTTTTTTTTTTTTTTTAGGCCTGGGCGCCTGGAGGATTGATCTGGCAAATTACAACCTTCGGTAAGACTCTCTAATCAAGCATTGTATTATTATCAAGAAATCTTATAACTTCTATCTCTGGGAACTGTCCCAGGGATGACAGGGTTTCCTTGGGGCCCCGTGCATCCCTGTCTTCCCTAATTATCTCGTCCCTTCTCAACTCAGAGCCCCCCCCAACACATCCCTAAAAACGCTCAGGTGGGACACTAAAGATACAAACATCAATAATGTGAAAACGTCAAAGAAGAATCCTGAGTTCTGGGTGTTTATCACGGTTTTAGTAGTTCGGCTCTTAACTCCTGGTAACGGCCCATACGAAGTTTTTCAACTCGGTAGCATCTCTCAAATTATGTAATAGCTGACGACTGAGACATATGTATAAGGGATTATAGGTGACCAAAAGGCACGACGTCATGACATTCATTCGAGCTCACGTTGTTGAGCTTACAGCAGCGCAAAGTCCGCTAATTTTGAAGCAGAATATCTGAACTATATGTTTATATTTTTTTTACCGCTATGCAGGAACATTCTCGAAAGGTTGTCCATTAAGTACGAGGAGTGGAATTTTTACGAAAACTCGCGTACTGAGACCAGAGGACAGTCATCTCGCGAGGACCACGAAATCAAAAAACAGTCCTTTCCAACTCTACTAAAAAGCAAGTTTCAGAATATGACCTGGAGCGAAATGCATCAATATCTTTTCAACGAAGAGCACGTGAGAGAAGCGGGTAGATTTGCCACTTTTCAGACCTACCAACAGAATATTCTCACGCCAGAGGGATCGGAATTTTACTTTGATATCTTTGGTTATGAAGGCGACTTAAGAGGAGGCGAGTATTAACCCTCGGACGTACACATTGGGGGGAGGGGGCGGGGGGGAGGTGATGTGATGGTCAGAGATACGATGTCATAAGTAGCAGGTAGTCAGGCCATTTGTGAGTGAAGTTTTTCAACTTCTTTCAGGAATAAAAGAAAAGCCTGTGGATAAAATGATGCAAAGTTATTTCACACGTTAAGCGCAAAAAGCATTAATTCTCACTGTTTTAACCTGATTTCTAATTCTTGATAAAATCCAAGATGACGACCATGTTTGGTGACGTCACAGACCTCCAGCAGCACCCTAATCCACAAAATATACCTCATCTTGTAGAGAAGAACAAAGGCTTTCCACTGAAGGCAAAATCATTTCGAAATATTGCAACAGATCAAAAACTCAGTCGGAGGTCCATCAATCCCCCCTTGTGCCACGGCAGGAGTATGACTTTGCTTGTACGTCCGAGGGTTAAGATCAGTTTGTTACTTTACTGTATCTTACTCTTTTATTGTCAATTTCTTGACTGCTTTTAATTAACATCATCATATGACGTTTGTAATGCTTTTTTAGATTTTATTTTCTACTGCAGAAAACGTTTTTCCAAGTTGGGCTGTTTTACCTGTGGAATCTTGATTTCGGAAGTATCTTTGTAAAAATAATGAAAGATTTTTTATACGCTTTGAAAATTGAGACACTCAAACAATTTGTCCATTACAGGTGGAAAGGAGGTTGGAGTTGATACATCCCTTCCTGATTTAATAAGTAAATTATGTTGAAGTAGTTTTTATTAGTATTAGTATAATTTCTATAAGAAACGAAAGAGGTTTGTATCAAAACAAGGTCAACCTCAGCCTCACGTTCACTCAAAGGCTCGGATACTAAGCCCACAACTGTAAAATGGTCTATGCATCTCACCATATACCTCGATCTAAGATTGAAAGGGTTGAATGGATTGTAAGACTTGGTTTTAGATGGGATCGGAGTCATAACGTCTTCTGATATGCAATTCAACAGGTGCTACAGGTGTAGTAGAGTACTACAAGCTCTTAGACGAGGATTTTACAGGGAACGAAATCCGCCCCGTAAAAGGAATGTCTGCCATCACAAATGCTCTCGAGGAATCTGCCAAAGCACTTGGAGCAAAGATCTACACTGGAAGTGAAATCTCATCGATAAACCAAAGAAAAAACATTTTTGTACTCAGAACATCAACTGGTAAGATTAAAGCAAAAAAGCTCGTGGTTGCTGCTCCTCCAGGGTCTTTTAAAAAGATTCGTGGTCGCGTGGCACAGATGATTCAACAACAAGAGGAGTTTAAATCTATCAAGGCCTTCCCAGCATTCAAAGCGGCGGCAGTTTACGAAAGGGCGTGGTGGGAAGACATTAAGGACGAAGCAACGCAATTGTATCCCATGGAGAGATTTCTTTCTAACAGTGATTGCCTTGGATGGACCCTTCCTCACAGGTGAATAGCACGTTCTGTGATTAGTCAAGTTCGGCTTGATGTCAATGAGAACTCTAGAAGACTAACAGCACAGAAGAAAGGCGTACTGACGAATCTACAGTGCTAAAAATCAAAACCAAAATTCCACTACACAATGTTATTTCTTTTAACTAAGCCACCAAAAGTGACCATTGTAACATCCGTAGGTTGCTTTCTTTTGGGATGATCTTGATCAGAATCAATGATCCGTGATCGCAAAGATCATGATACATCAAATTCAAGGAGCGAAGAATTCACTCTTGAAAAGGATTCATAGGTTCATTTGAACTACCACGATCAAAGTGATTTCGGATCACTGAACCTGATCAGGATCATTCCAAAGGAAAGCAAAACCTAGAAACCTAAATTAGTACTAAGACTTGAAGTTTTTATACAACTTCTCTTATTATATGTCTCGTCAACCTCTTCGATTTTATTATCTTCGTTAATCTTCTGTAGACTGATGGGTATACTTCGCCTAAAAGAAGGCAAGAACCAATCACGTGACCTTAAAGTCACGTTTCTCCAAATTTCCCACACACTGAAGATCAATATCAGAGTTTGCCGCTCCGATTAGAATTTATTAACTATTTACCATTCGCTCTCTTATCCCAGAAAGTGACTTTTCTCTTTCGTTTTCTTTAGTGGGCGCGGTAAAAATGGCGAGGCGGTGCTGCACCTTGCGTATAAAGACGGCGAGTGTGGAGAAAAATGGGGAAGCATCCTAAACTCAGTTTCCAAGTCACTGGTTGACCAGGAAGTTCATCGTGCTATTGAGTATAAGTTTAACATGACAGTTCCTAAGCCCTTGGAAACAGTCTACAAGTACTGGAACGAGGGAGCCTGGTAAGAAGCATACTGATTTTGTCTTTTTACGGTGTTTCATCTCGCATTCATCGCGAGAAAGTTTTGGTCTCTAGCTCTGTCTCTCGCACGCTATTTTGAGATAAACTTTGCCCGAAAGCATACTGATTTTGTCTTGTTACAAAAATTCTTCTTCTTCATGCTATTTTGAGATAAACTTTGTCCGAAACAAATGATGTTTACCTTCTCAAAAAGAAAAAATAAAACGATTAAACAATCAAATTTTCCAGTTGGGGTTTGAGCTTGCCTGCGAATACAGCCGTCACCGCTAGGAACGTTTCGCTAGAAAGACGTCTGTGCTTCACCTACAGAAATTCCATATATTGATTTTAATCCAATGACTACCAGATATATTGAGCAATCATTGCTTCGCATAATCAGTATGGAATTTCGGTCTTTGTGGCGCAGACGTCCTATCCGCGAAGCGTCCCCAACGTTGAGGAACGAGGACAGACGGTTGTATTCGCAGGCTACACTGGCATGCACAGGTGGAGTCTATGGGCTACCCATGTATTCACACGGCGGCCATATTGTCCCGAGAGACTGAAAAAAGCTTTGTTTTACCACCCTCGACCTTGCAGTGAAAAACTTGGAAGCGCGAGGCTAGACAGGTAAAAAAAACTACTTTAGTCTCTCGGGACAAAATGGCCACCGTGTGACAAAGGCCCATTGCTAAATGGGCATTGGAAAACTGTTGTCTGGTCGGTAAATGTACAATTAATATACTGCCAGATCTGCTACAGTTTATTTAATTACATTTGCTGTATTTGCTATTTTGCATTTTGCGCAGGTACCTACAGAGGCCCGGATGTAACGTGTCGATGAGAAGAGTTGAGAATTGGGCAAAGAAGCCATTTCCTAGGAAACAGATTTACATTGTAGGCAGTGCATACAACCCGTACCGAGCCTACTCCGAGGGAGCCTTGGTATCCGCTAATAACGCACTGTTGGAGGGTTGGGGTATACCTATTCCGAGTCCCGGAATAAAAACTCGCGTTGTTGAACCTTTACGCAAAACCGGCGGAACAAATTTGAGAATGATTCGTTAGAAATTGGGAATTCTTATTATTTCATGGGAAAGTGTTGTAAAGTTTGTTTTAAGGGTCGCAAGTTTCCTCATTCACGCAAGAAAAATGATTGCAGGCGACCAGAGGAATCCGCAATCCAAATCTCAGGCTTTTTACAGTATTAAGCATCACGGAGGGTTTTAATTGTAGTCAACATTCGTTTGGACGTTCAACAATTAAGAATGACTGGAATACATAGCACGCAAAGCGCAGAGTTAGAGCAAGAGCATTTTCACCTTCGATCGATCTCACCCACACTCCCTGGTATCAGGTCGTTTCGCCCGATAGCTCTTCGCTCAGACTGTTTCGATTTCCCCGAAGCGTATTTGTCGTTCTTTAAGCCTAAAAAAGGGAATAAGCATGAATAGACACACAGTGACTGCACATGTGGAATCCAAGGTTAACTAAAATAACATCTCGAAAGGTATGTCCATCAAATTGTAGAGTGATTTATATCAACAGGCGAATCGACTTACATCCTGGAGAACGCCGTCGGGCGAATTGACTTTCAGGCGAAACGACCGCAATTTCACCCCCTAACCTTTGGTTATTACCAGTATATTTAGGGTAAAAAGGCTAAGAGAGGACTGAGATGCAGGGGAATGTTTCTTTTGAGGGGGAAGGGGAGGGGGTACGATTAGTTTAGGCCTCAGGGCCCGGTTGCATAAAACGTCCGTAACAACTACGGGTACACGTACGTGCACTCGTAACTTAAGTCATTTGCATGAAATCACTTAAGTGGTCCACTTAGGGAATTCCCTTAAGTGGTTGTACTTACGATTTTCGTAAGTGTTCACTTAAGTGTCGTTTATGCAACAGAAATTGCGGGTGTTGCATAAACCTTTTTTTACGGGAAAAATAGCACGTAAATTTACGGGACCTATGTAGGTCCCGTATCGTTACGGTTTTGACTAAATTTAACGAGATCTTTTACTGAGAAGTGAAAAAAAGTATTTTTCTTCACAAAACTCGTTCTAATGCGCCTTGTTAACCTCTGATGTACACTTTTTTGAAAAAAGAAGAAGAACTATCATTTTCAGTAGATATTGAAGAAAAATAACGTTTGCATGCAAATTTCATTTTTTGAAAGGCTTAAAAGTGTTCGAAACGACTTTTAACTTTCTTTACACTCACCGATGGTTAGCTTAAAAAAAGAGTGAATCATTAATAAAGTACTATATCATGGTTACGTGTGCCCTTAAGTGAGCCCGTAAGTTACCACGTAAAACAGAAACTTACGAGAGTGCTAAGTGCGTTCCATGCAACACCCGTACGTATACCTATAACGGATTTGTAAGTGACCTACTTAAGTGAGCAACTGGGCCCAGATTATTCAGTTAAAGGAAAGGAAACTTTGAGGTTTCAATCAGTTATTGGTGAAAGAGGATATATCAAATAAAAGACAATCAATTCATCAGTCTATTGCCTGACTTGTCAGTAGTTCCTGTTTTTAGGGCATAATGAATTTTAAAGCAAAAAATCCTTTCTTTAATAATAATATTATTACGTTTTCTTAACTTTCTGGTGTTAAAATAAGGATCCATAGAAATTTCTTAGATTTCTTTCTCTCTCATGGTTTAACAGCACGATCCCGCCTTTCTCTCCTTTTTTTGCTCGACCGACCGACCCCCTTTTTTGAGAGAGGGTGATGAGAAACGAAACACTTCATGAGCGTGGCCGTACAGCCTCATAAACATCTTCCTCGGTGTTGCTAATTATATAACTCCCCAGTATGTTTCTTGGAATTCTCCCTCTTCTCTTTCCTCTGTAACAGATGTTGTGAACAAGTCCTCTGTAAGGTAAGTCAGCAAATTTTCTTTCATGTCTTGAAGCTTTAAAAGGACTGTGGAAAGATCGGCATCTTCGCAGTGGCGGACCATGTTATTTTCTGGGATAAAAAAGTTGGGCAAGTTTTTGCTCTTTACACAGTAAATAATTTGATCCAGAAGTTTCTCCAGGAAGACACCTCGGCTCAGAGATTCTCTTTTACGACGAGGCATGGACTCTAATACATGGAAAAGGACAGTTTTTAAATGGTAAGACGCAATAACCTTTGGTTCTTGTAGGTATTTTCTTCTCAGTGCTTTAAGAACCATAAGACACTGCTTTTCCCAAGGTTTTATAGCCGAACTGAGAAGCAACTCCGCTGAGCTAAAGCTAAATCGCCACTCTAAAAGCTTGTTTGAGGTAAACGGGTGTGGCTTGGCAAGCAGGTAACATGAGAGAGTTGAGATTTTTTCTACTATACTTTGGCAAGGCCACCACCTTTTTCGTTTCAGCCAAGAGTTTTTGACATTCACAGGGATGTCGCATAATATGGCAGGAGCGATGTCTATGATTTGATTTTGCCACGAAATGTCACGCTGGCGGTCTTGGATAATCGATAACGTGTCAAACAGCGCTCCTAAAGTACAATCAGGCCAAGTTGTAGAGTCAGGCCAGATAAGACAATGAATCGGTTCTTTGAAGAAAATTGTCATCACTGGGTAAAGATCAGCGACACTTTTCCGCTTCATGCCAAGTTCGAGACCTCTGGCAAATTTTGTTCCCATCACCATGGTCACTGCATATTCTACTCGTCTTTCAAATACCCTGACAAATTTGTGTGAAAGAAACAGTTCGTCGTTATGTACCTCGTAAAACATTGCCATAGGGTCCCTAATTATATCCTGCATAACGGGTGTGTCCTCCAGCGTAATGCGTGTAGCATCCAGCACTTTCAAATTGACATAGCCGGGATTGGGCCCTTCTATTGAACAACACTGCAAAACTCCATCGTCTCTTTCACTGGCAGTCACGTCCGGTAAAATAAGCATAAAATCCATTTCTTGTGAAATGCCACCATCGCTTGGGCACTCTGCGATGTGTGAACCCTCAAACATGCTCCCTACTGGCAGAACACATCTTCGAAGCTGGCTTATTATCCGTTCTTCTTTAACAGCTTCGAAAATTAATTTGTGTTGGGTCATGTTGAGCAGGACAAAATTGTCATACTTGAATAACGCTTTTTCAAGCTCAAGATGTCGTAGTGTCCTCTGGTTTGCAAAACACCTGCAAAAAGTCGCGATTATTACAAAAATAAAATTAAAGACTGTAAGTAAGAAAACTATCAAGGAAAACTATTTTATAAAAATGCAAAGGAATTGGTAAACAGATTAAAACAGCATGTTTAATCTAAATCTACTCATTTGAAATTGTAACGAATCATATTCACCTGAGTCTATAAACACACAAGGCCCCCATAATTAGGGTACACTGGTCTACCAGGTGCGCGATACAGTGGCCTATTAAATAGTTCATAAATAGTTTCAAGTCTGTTTGATTTTATCTGAAACGAATATCCCCCTTATCCCAGTTATCGTCCCATTGCGGGTGGGACGGGACATACAACGCCTGCTTGGTTATGCATCCGACATTTTGTCTTTTTTCGAAAAACGCGCTACTTAGAACTTATTTGGGCTTTGCCACAGGCAGCCCAATAATAATTATTACGCATTACGTTTCTTTTCACGTATTTTTTATCCGAATCTAGTTGTTGTCCTAGTTGTTGCTCTGGGTGCTAATGGATCAAGAACAGACTTCTATTTTGAGTGATTACAAATTGACGATAAATATACAAAAATAATGTCAAAAAAAATACAGAATAACGTTTCAACTCTCTCGCGTTACAACTTTGCTTCAAATGAAAGAAAGAACTTTATTGACAAAATCTTCGTTTAGTCTTTTCGAGCCCTCCAACTGAAAGAGCTCAGACAGATGATCAAGCAAGTCTCTCCTTACTTTCTTCACATCTCGAAGTGCATTACTGATTTCAACTGAATCAAAACTATCCAGTAGGTTAACACTGGGAATGAAAAAGTGACGTAAGTTCTTCTCATTCAAAAAACAAATTAGATTGTCCAGGAGTCTCACAAGTAATTCGCCTCTTCCCAAACCTTGTCTCTGACTTAGAGGGATTGATTGTAAATACCAGAAAAGGGCTGTCTTCATGACAAACGATGATAAAATTTGAAAGTTCAGTGAATGCTTTTCAATTAGAGCTTTTAAAATCACCACAACCTGCCTCTCCTTTGGTCCCGTTTCTGAGAATAACAAGTACTCTGATGTGCCAAAGGTAATCTGCAATTCCATTATCTCCTTGTTTGCCAGATGGTTATTTCTGGAATAATTGTTCCACAAAGGAAGAAGATAACAGTAAGACTGTGCTATTTCTTGTACAATGGCTTCACTAGGCCAAAATCTATCTCTTTCAAGCCACATGATTTTTGCATCTTCAGGCCATTCACATTGAAAGGCTGGATACACATTAAACGTTCTAGCGGGCCAAAACTGGCTGCTCCAGTTAGTAAGGTTGACCCACATCATTTGAGCATTTGTCATTGCATCCCCTGACCATGTGTCTGGATCTAGAGGCAACATATCTAATCTTTCATTGATGGCCTTGAAAAATGAGGCACGCAAAGATGCGCAGGGGCCTGTGCAATTTTCTTTGCTGTCCCTTGCTACCATTTCCATCCCACCTGGTTTCTGTGCAAGGACCTTACCCAAGGAATTCTTGATTTTTCCTTCAATGGTTTCCATGAAACTTTTTTTTAGATAAAATCCATCACTACATTCATGCAGAAAATGACAGCAACCCCTTAAGTTTGACACCACACTATCACTGGCACCGAGAATGTAATCTGAAAATACGATGGATGGGTCAGACAGTTTCAGGATTACTTGATGTGGCCTTCCATTTTGCTGCAAATACTGTAAAGTGTTTCCAGTGGACTCTCCAGCTTTTGGTGTTGGCAGACAAACAAGGAAATCAAAGTGAGTTGCACACTCTTCCCATCTGTGTAAATTCCTTGGAAGACAACAACCTTCAAATGCACTTCCAACCATAACACATGGCCATTCTGTGCCTTCAGCAAAACACTTGACTGCACTTAAGATAGTTTGATGTTGGCAGTGGATGTAAACTAAGAAATCATCATATTGTCTTAGTGCCAGTTCAAGAGACAAAGTGGGCACCTTCAAGAAGGTGTCCCCAGTCGCAATTTTTCCACCAGGCAGCCTGGATTATAGAAAAGAATACTGTTTTATTTTTCTTGTAATTCTTGATCCATTTTGTGTGTGTTTTTGGGAGATTAACATTGCCTTTAGAGGAAAAGTGTTTCTTCTATTTGGCCATTTTTTCTAACACTTAGAATAATGCAAAACTGAACAAAGGATGACAAAAATATGGTTTCAACTCAGAATTTCTTGAGTTATGTCAGCCGCACAATGGACTGTGAGAGTCCTGAAGAGAGATTGTTGGTGATAGTGGCTAGCAATTCAACAGCCAAATGTGTGAAGATCTTCACTGAACTAAGAGAATATAGATTATAAAAAATCAAAAGTAAAGCAGTCATTCTGAATGGGAAATAACCTGAGATCAGGCTCAATTTTCCTTTCGCTTTGTAAGAACATTCTGACGGGCAAGGCGAAACAAAAACAGAGCCCAATTTTAGCAGCAGCCATTAGAGAGAATGTATGAGAATGGCTAAAATTGGGCCTGATCTCAGGTTAAATGGGAAATAACCATCAACTTTTAACCCATGGGTGCACCCTGCAAAAAGCTTGGTTACCCTGTGAAGACAGGGCCAGTCAATACCTTCAATAAATGTTTTTGAGGCATTTCTCAAAGATTTTCCCCCTGAAATTGCAAGGTAATCTGCAAAAAACACTTAGGACAAATACGGGGTGAGCACACATAATTTATAACGTACACACATAATAACAAACATATCATACCACTAGCTAGTTTAGTTTCTCTAAATACTGACCCTATTTCAAACCAAACAAGCCCCTATTTTCAGACCTGGCCTCTAAGAAATTATGTCATCATTTATACTTAGATTAGAAGAGCAACAAATTTCAAATTTGTATATTTCTCTTTCTTTCTTACTCATTTGGAATTTTACATTCATCATGACTCTCATAATTCCCTAGAAAACCATACCCGTTTTCAGACCAAAATGGTGCAAAAAACCTGCCCTTTGGCCTGGGGTGGCACATACCTAGTATATGGCTTATTGGCTTATATAAGGGAGTACCACTCCTGACCTCAGACCCAGGAAACTCAGATACCCCTCTCTCCCAGACCCCTCCCCCCGCATGCACCAAATTTGGAAAACCCAGGCCCAGAAAACTCAGACCACCCTCCTACCAAATCTGGAAAATTCAGACCCCCCCCCACTCCCCAAAACTAGAAAACTAAGACCTGCCAATTTCGATTTCTCCACAGCGTTATCCACCATTTGAACAACTGGCCGGCGCCAGCATTATTAGCAATACAGGCAATGGAACGTTTGATGCCCTTTTCATTTTTTAGATCAATGATTAGATGCCCCTTTCATTTAGTAGTTTATAAGAATCCTTGACACATAAACACACTCACCAGTAATAAATAAAGCCAGCTAGTAAGGAAGCAACAATAACTGTCGAGAGTATTAACAGCAGCATCATCAAATTCACATACACTGAATCTAAAAATGTGTGGATTGTTTCTGTTCAACGCGGAAGGACGAGGAAGTGGAACAGAATACTGGGACCTAGTGAAACCCAGGCCCAACTCGACCTAGGCGCCATCTTTGTTTATGCTGTCCATGTTGGCTCTCTTTTTTTTCCTCATAGAATGGCATCTAGAAAAGTCGTGCGCGTTGTAGTTGGCCTGGCAGCTGGAACGTTACTTACTGTTAAGGCATTTCCACACATTTATCCACACGAATACGTTAAGAGGCTTATGGAACTCAAAGTGAACTCGACAGAAATGCAGGTCCCAGATCGTTGCAGAGAACAGCTCGAAAGGATTGCTCCCAAAATTGGGGTCAATCAGAGTGAAAAGATCACATTTTTCGTGTCCAAGTCTCTGTTTCCCATGTCTGCTGGAGCAACGTGGCTTCCCAACGGTGCTGTAATTGGAGTGCCTTTGTCTTTCTTTTTCAAGCAAGAACAAGATATTGCAAGGTTTAGACAAATCACCAATATGAACAGTGGTAAGGGACCTCTTTATTTAGAAGGCAAGATCGGTGCTAAATTGAAGGACACACTTATCATGTCTGATGATAACGTGGCATTCCTCATCGGCCATGAGCTCAGTCATATAAAGTGCGTGGATTTAGCACCGCAAATTTTATTAGCACCTTCCTGGTTGTATGTGACATTTGAAATTGCCAACTCGACCCGAAGAGTCATTCCTAGAGCTTCAGTCTTTGTAGATGGCATTATCAAAATCTCTGTGTGTTTCCTCAGTTATCTTTGTTATTGGAAGGCTCAACGATATCTAAATCATTATCAAGAATTCAAAGCAGATGAGATGTGTGCGAGAAGTGACCTGAATGTCGCCGAGGGTGGAGCCGACTGGATGTTAAAAACAATGAACTTTAACTCCTTTATGATGTTGTTGCATGAAAGGGGTACAACAAGGCCACAGTCTCCTCAAAGGAAAACTTCAGAAGGCTACACTCATCCAAAGTTACTGGACAGGTTAAGAAAAGTGGAAGTTATTGTGGATCAGATGATGAAAGGTGCTTTATATTAATCAAAGGGTGCAATCTAACTTGTGGATTATTAATTACTGTATTTTAGAAATGAAAGTTGATATTGAACCTGCAATAATTATTAGTCTACCGTTATGTTTTAAGTCTGTCCAAAAGTGAAAATGGGGCTTTAAGAAAAAAAAAAGTCTCCAATGGGGAGAGTTGAATCCCGGACCTCTGAAGTGTAAGGTCAACATGTTATCTATTGTGCCATGACAACTAATATTGATTACCCTCGATAATTAATCATCTTTAACACTTTTGCCCATGAAATTCTGCCGGTCAACGCTGTTTGAAGCCGGTAAGAGCTTTATTTATGGAGAATTGAAAGATATATTCGAGGAAAACAAGCATGGTTTTGACAGTTAAAGCCGTACTTTAACTCATTTCGTCACATTTGAAGCGATTCCTGGCAATCAATAATCAATAGTTATGATTCAACGACAGAAAAAAATCGTGAGACTCGTGTGGAATCATGAGGCAGAATCATGAGCTTGGACCAGCTTGGGAGTCAAAGAGCAATTGCTGGTCTTTTCATCGTGTTTATTGCCTTGACGAGTCAAAAAGCTTCAATAGTTCATAAACTCCTGTCTCAAAGTTGGCCATAGTGCTAATTTGAAACATTCAAAGTCCACATGAATACCATGGTCCTGTGACTCCTCTGCGATGTACAAAATCAGCACATTATGGAACGGGAAAGATCTACGACAGTTGTCATTTTGATATCGGTCGTTTTCGTGCAGGGTCAACTGATTTACGAAAGGTGTCTACATCTGAGTGACACATTTGCATATCGCAGTGCCCACAATAACTTGTTCCTTATGCTACGCATAATCCACAAGTTAAAAACTGTACAGATAAATGAATTCATTAAATATATAAATGAGTGTTAAGGTTACTCCTTCAAATGAGCCATCCCCTCCCCCTGCCCCCTTCCAGGCTTCTCCAAAAAATTTAAGCCATTTACTGCTAGACGAGTGGTTTTTTGGTAACTGATGTGCTATAAGGAGCTAAAACTTACCATAAAGCCTTTTAAAGGTCGTACACTTTGCAGCATTTTGATCCAGATGCAAAATTTTAGCTTGTGAAGTTCGGGCATACACAGAAAGCATAATTTCAAGACAGTTTTTTTTTCTTTCTGTTGCCTCTGGTGTTTTGCATTGAATATGACTCTTGCATGAAGAAAAAAAAGTTTTGAGAGATCCTTTGTTGGCAAAATAAAGTAGTGCATTCAAAATCATTTCTTTTTTATTCTAACTTGTTTTATTTAATTGCTTTTCAGAGAATGATAAACAGTATCAAGTTAACTGAGGGGCGGCATGGATTATTTTTTCACAAGAAAAGGATGCATTGTCCTAGAGGATTTTCATTGTTATGATCAATGTTGGCAAAAGCTCTAATTTCATTCCCCATAGTTAAATAAAATTTGCCAACTTACTACCAACTTTGACAAAAAAATCTCTCTGTCTCTTTGGCTACAGCATATAACATTTACTGGCAATTTAAAACCTGTAAATGCATTATACACTGTAGCTGCATAAGGGCAGTGTTCATCAGCAGCCATGTCAGGGAATCATTTACCTGCTTGCAGCCGCATTTTCCAGAATTTTGCTGACCCACTGCTGACAGGTTAGGTGATCCCTAGCGTCCATCAAAGATCTAATCTAACCCTAGTTAGTAACTTCAGCAAAGCAGCACCAATATCTTTGTTCTGGGCCCCAAAGGGACTCAACAAATTACTGGAAATATGTTCTGCTTTCTCTTCAAACTGATTGGCAAATTGACAGTAGCAGCTTTTTTAACAGGCTAATGATGACACATACTCAAATCCTAGTACACAAAGGGAGCCCCAGAACGAGGATTTTGGTGCTGTTTCAGAGACAGACTTAATCAGAGGTTTAGTCTCATCCATGGTGCAGGCTAGGTGATCCCAGGTTATAAAAAGTGGAAAAAAGACTAAAAATCAGAGCACTCATAGTGCTAACATGATCTGAAGGCCCTTAGGGGTCGATGGTGCTGGGGATATACAGTATTTTTATTTTGTTTCTGTGTCTACAGTTGAACCTTCATTAAGCAGCCATCCTCAGGTTACTGGCAAGTGGCCACTTATGGAGGTTGGCCACTCAGTAGAGGTCCGTCTTAAATTGCCATCACAGCATGATCTTTAGCAGAAACATCACTTTATTTTGAGACAACCAGACGAAGGGAGCAGCAGCATTACTGGTCCACAATCCGTTGTCACCTTTTTTTAGACTGTATTATTTTCCCTTCATCATATTCTTGAAATGAAGCCAAACTAAGTGTATCAAGTGCTTGATGGCTGCGTGATAGACTGTATTATTTTCCCTTCATCATATTCTTGAAATGAAGCCAAACTAAGTGTATCAAGTGCTTGATGGCTGCGTGATAGAGGTGACGGGACGGGAGGTATTGGGACGGCCAAAAGGAGGAGGGTCAACTATAGTTCAGTACAACCTGTTCCTAACTCAGTGATCTACATGTATAAGTACGGCAATGACTTGTGTACTTCCGCTCTGATATAACATGTTTATTAGCCTTTATTTACTATAAATAAATAAATAAATAAATAAATAACTAGTCGTAGCAGTGCTTTTAGAAAAGTTTAAAGAAGCCCATAGCGCTTTTAACCTGTAACATTAAGGTTGCCCAGCATATCATTTTGATGACAAACTCTGATATCTTAGTTGCCCGATCGAGAGCAGGCCTATAGACCCCTTCACGGTTGTAATGGAATACAAAATCAACTAATCCTTGCTTATTGAATGTATTTGTCACTTTCCCCTTGACAAATGTAACTTAAAGACACTACACATTAAATCTGGAGTGTATAGCAGTCCATTGTTGCATTTTAGTAAAGTTGAGTTCTTCCATACATTTTCTGTTATCTGATGACAAAAAAATTACACATAATGTATGAAAGAAGTCAAATTTTTCTAACAAGCGACAAAGGACTGATCCCGGGGGGCACTTGGGTATTTTTTGGGTGGATATGTGCCACCCCGGACTCCTAATTGGCACCCCGTTCTAAAAAAAATTTCCCCTAAAATTGATATCCCGTTCTAGAGATGGGCCAATTTTTTATACCCCGTTCTAGAATTCGCCCTAAAACTGATACCCCATTCTAGAAATGGGCCAATTTTTTTATACTCCGTTCAAGAAAGTTTGAAAATTGAAATAGACCCGTTTTTTAAAGAGATATTTCTTTCTTTGTTCGACTTATGCATCAAATAAATGCTTCTTCATAATTAGCAACAGTTTTAAGCAGAAGAAAAAGCCGTGATACACAATTTTTTATACCCCGTTCTAGAAAACGCCTCTGAACTGGATGCCCCGTTCTAAATCAGGAGCTTCAAAATCACGACCCCGTTGGGCGGCACATACCCGTATAGATATTGTATGGGAGTGAACCCCCCCCCCCCCCGGGGACTGCTTCGCTCTCCACATTAATTTTAGTGTATAGTTTCGTTAAGTTCATTAGTTAAAGTTTGCAAAAAGAAAGTGACCAATATATTCAATTAGGAAGAATTAGTTGACTTTGAATTCCCATACAAACTTTTCACTTCCCGGCCATCTTGTCCAGGTTACCTAGCATGCCCTCACCATCGTGAAGAGGTCTAACTACGTTGCCGGGGCACTGCTAGAGCACAGCCCTGCTACCTTTTACAATCTATTTCAAAGCCTTCTGATGGGTTGGCCTCCCAGAAGCAAGGAAACAGCAATTTATTAACACAGCAACACCGACCTAGCGGCTGGCCGGCCTGAGACTGATATCGTCCAGAAGGATCTGGGGCTGAGGTCAAAACTGGGCACCAGGCCTTGTCAGTTACTAAATCTAATATGGCGGATAAAATAGTCCGTGTTTGTATTCGTGTTGGTATTGGAGGATTATTTGTGATTAATGCTTCTGGGGAGTTATTTCCCCATCAGGCTTGTAAGCAAGTTAACGCTCTAAAAGATGAAAATGGTATTCTCGTAGAAGTTCCTGAGACATGCCGCGAACAGTTTAAAGAAGTAGCCCTGAAACTAGGTTTGAAGAACAGTGCACAGAAAGTGACCTTATTTGTGAATGAAGGTTTTCATGCTCTGTCTGCCGGTTCGACATGGTTTCCCGCGGGAGCAGTGATAGGTTTGCCCAGGTGGTATTTGTATCAAACTGAAGAAGATGTTGAAACTTCCGGTCTGAAATTCCAAGGAAGAAATATCCAGTGGGATTCAAAACTAGGAGAAACTGTGAAATTTTGTTATGTTCCAACGAAAGATATGATCGGTTTCACCATTGGCCACGAACTAGCTCACATCCAACGCTTAGAATTCAAAATGTTTGATATTTTTGCCTCGCCTTTCTGGTTGTTTCTGACATATAAAATGATCCGTTTTGTCCATTATAGAACTTTTAAAAAGCAAGCCATGTGGAACTTACTTCTTAATCTAACCGTTTGTGGAGTCAACTACTTTGCTTACAGACTTGTGAATCGAAAGGTACAACACTTTAGTGAATTCAATGCAGACAAAATTTCTGCTGAGTGTACTCCGCAGATAGCTAAAGGTGGAGTAGACTTTTTCACAAGAAGACTGAAACTAAATCTTGTCCAGCGACTTTTGCTTGGAGAAGAAGGTGAAGACTTTTTTACAGAAGAGGGTAATGAAGTGAAATCCTACACACATCCACGGTTGACTGACAGACTGGATCAAGTAAAATTCATCCTTAGTAGTTCTGACTTCCAACTGGACTCGCGTTAGGTAAGAAGATAGGCGGGTTGATAGTTACATATTACACTCAATGCTGACGTTTACTTTTGATAATGATTTTGTGCCATTGGGACAGTAAATAAAAGGTTAATTTAAAGGTGGGTGAAAAGGTGAGGGTTTAGAATTTGATGAGGGGTGTCCCATTTAAAAAGACATTTACTAACTACCCTCCCAGCCAGTGTCCAGAAACAGGTTTGAGAAGGAAACTGCAGATAACAGTTGATATTTCCATAAGGTGTCATGTAATCTGAACTTGCATGTAGTAAAAGACAATACATTGCGAACATTACATCTGTTGCTCTACTGTAAAAAAAGGAACACAAAAATTTCTGCTGAACGAAGTTTAACACAAGTTTTAAAAGTTTGGAAGTCCTAGTAGCACCTTGCCACCAAAATTTGCACAGAGGCAAGATACCCTACATCACCTCAGATGGAGCTAAGGAAAAGCTAAGCATGCTTTTTTATCAGTCAAGCCAGAGTTCTTTCTTAACTGCACCTTCAGAATTGCCTGTTGTTGCTTTCTAAAGCAATTTAATCTCTATTCCAGTGGCTGAAATTAGCCAGTAACTGGCTCTTAGTTATAGCCTCCAGCCCACACAGATGGTCTCGGGGCTTTACCACATGTAAATGAAAATAATTATTATTTTTATTAAAATTGAGTTAATTTTGAGGTGACACCTTGTTAGTTTGGAAGTTTAATATGCACTGTCTACAAAAGGTTTGATTAGTTAAAGCCATATTATAACTATTAGCATATAGAAAAAATGGTGGCTGTCAAATTATGTCTAATGTGATTCACTGAAGAGTGGAAGAAATCCCATGTATGTGGAGAATTTTTTGCATTAATTGCTGTGGGGTCTATGGGAAACATTTGATATCCTTTTCTATTAGCTAATAATTGGCGTCTAATCATGCTCAGCTGGCACGTCAATCACAAACACAGCTGTGTGTTGATAAGAAATTACCTACCTGGTAAATAAGACATGCTTAGGGGTTGGTTGCGCATTCTCTTGAGGAGACATAAGCAGAGAAAGGCCACAAGGCTGTCAGGGGCACCCAACGTCAATTTTCGGAAAATATCTGTTTGGAAGGCGATTTGAGATGTAGAATTTTCGCAACATTTTTTGTAAAATTTCTTGCTTGCCTACCTCTCCTAGGATTTTCAAACATCTGAAAAATGGTATAATTGCTCATTTTTACAGTCAAACCAGGTCAAGCGTTCCCGTCGCTAACAAACTAATGAATTCATTAATAGAAAAATGATTTCGTTTGTTGATTCAATAATCCATTCATAAAATGAATAATCCAACGGTCAAATTGTACCTCGATTCAATAATCAAATGTTGATTTGGTTTATGAACAAAATCTACCTGTTCTTTATTCTTGTCTGTTGTGTTCAATCGTATTTGTTTCCCTTTTCCTGCCGTTTACGATTGCGTTTTTCATTGCCTTTAATCAAAATAACAGCTAGAATAGACAGACCGCAAACGCAAAGAAACTGACAAAGGCCGAGAATCGAAATCCACCAATCACCGCACATACACTGACCTCAGTTTGACCGTCGTGTTTTCTAAGAGGTCAGGCCTAGGTCTGTTGCACTGATTATTGGCAGCAAACTGGCGTACATGTAACAGTTTGTTTGGGTTTGAACTTCAGAACTCGCCAGTACTCGACTCTCAGAAAAAAAAGAGGAAAAAACAAAATTCTGAGGTCAACTTGTGGAAAGTGTAATTTTTCAAAAAACAGTAATCGAATCAACATTCGATTATGGAATCGAGGCTAAATATGACTTTTGGATTGTTTATTTTATGAATGGATTATTGAATCAACAAACGAAATCATTTTTCCGTGAATGAATTCATTAGTTCGTTAGCGACGGGAACGCTTGACCTGGTTTGACTGTAACGGATTTTTACCCCAAGAAGGTCACCTAGAATTTGCGGGAGCCTTTTTTCTGGCTGAAAAGTTTTGAAAAGGTAAGTTTTGATCCCTATAATTTTCTGATCACTAGACTTTCAGCTAGGAAATCCGAACTGATGAAAAATTTTTAGGGGATAAAAATATGCCTATATCTACCGTTTAAATACTAAAATACGTTTAACAATGCTATGTTTAAGTGGTTTTAAACTATACTCTCGTAGGGTCCCCCTGGGCTGTGTGCTTTAACTTTATCGAATTTGCCACAGTGACGGGATGAAACAGGACTTACATCGCAATTGCTTTTGAAAGGGTATACCACACCTCCATGGTCTATGCCCACTACTCTTTCCAAACAGCAGTGTGGGCTCTATACACTTTTACCTTTGGCTTTGACATGTAAAAAAACAGATGTAAACTCAAGTTACCTGTGTTATTGTATCTAATTTTCTATTTCTTTTATTGCTCTTTCTTAACTGCAAAATATTGGTCAGTCAAGGTATTCATCTCAAATATAACCTGCGTAGCAAGTGTTTCCAAATCGAGTTATTGCGTGAAAGTTAGAGTGGAAGCAAAAAATTTTTTTTTTGCTCTTGTCCAAGCTTTCTAGACGAACCTCGCGAGGAAACGCTTGCTACGCAGGCTATCTCAAATAAAAATTTACAATATTCGTGACGTTGTTAAGACTGTCAAGGGAAGTCCCCAATAGGTGTTATTAAAAACCATTTAAACATGGAATTTATAATCAACCAATCAAAATCACTATTCACCTCCTAAGCGAGGCAGAAGCTAATTTCTTGGGTTTTTAAAAAATAGAGACAGGTGCATATTTCGCTAAAGACGATTTTTTTTACACCCTTATCAACAGGAAATGAAATGGAAAAAATGGATTGATAATAACGAACAGAAATATAATTTATCATAAAATGCCAATAATTTATTCCATGGTTAGAATTGCGCTACATTTAAAGTGAACACATTCAAAGAGTTTAAGCTTTTACAATCTAAAATACATTTTGCCAAGTCGACCAACCTCAGGAGAAAGCTATTTTCCTTTTAAGGCTCTTTTAATATCACTCTTAAAGAAAGCGTATGCCAAAGGGTTTATTGCAGAGTTCAGAACTATCATAGGTATTTTGTACGCAAAGTCGTCACTTTTACACGAAAAGTGTAGTTGAGTTGTATGGTTTCCTAAAACTTTAATTTGAAGAAAGCTACATCGCAAGTAAGTTGCGAAACAAGCTAGAGCGAAGCCTACCACAACGGCTAACATTACAACTGCTGATTTGTCATATGCGTTGAATGTCAAACCTCGGTGGTTGAAACGTAACTGTTTTGCTAAGATGGCTGATGATCGAGTTTGCTTGTATACAACTGTTAACATGGAAATAAAACAGAAGCTTAACATGCAGATGAAGAAAAACTCGAGGATCGCAAACTGTACGGCTAAGAGCATCGAACATATCGAAAATGTTAAATATAAAGTCATGAAAAGAGACCAAATTGCAAGACCAAGAGGAATCACCCAAGAAATAAATGTTAGTTGAGTTATTCGTCGCGCAGTCATGAAGGTGACGTATTTCAGTGGCTTTACAATAGCCATATATCGATCTAGTACCAGGCTGCACAGGTTCATTATAGAGGCGTACTGAAAGAGCCACCTTATAAAATCCATCCAGGACGCATAGGGTCGAGGCCAGTTGCAGCCACCTCTAATTTCACAGAAGAACAGTGAAGGAACAACGAAAGCCCCAACACAGAAATCCGCCACCGCAAGCGAAACGATGAGTGCGTTGGTTTTGGTGCGAAGCCGACGCCGAATGCCCACAAGAAGTACGGTGAAACCATTTCCAGCTACCGTCAGAAGGGACAGAATCCAGCCAAGAATCCAAAACCAAGTTTCCATTTTATAACGGTACAGAACTTTAGCTGGGCGTTCAAGTTTATGTCTTTGAAAGAAACCGGTTTGGTTATTTTATAAACATCTGGTAACGTTTGCCCCTTATCTGACGAACATGATATGTCGTACGTCAATTTATTATTGCTACGTTGATTGCAGGACAGCAAAAGCATTTAGACCAATAAGAAAGGTCGTTTTCAACTACGTTCTTGCTTATATTTAATGAAACTTACGCTCAACTCAACGAAAAGCATTTTTCTGTAGACTTAAGGCTCCCTCCTTTTATTAAATGCAATAAGCCGCTCTGTCGCTCTGTCTTATTTTGGCTTGATTCTCTGTAACAACCGATGTTAATTATAGTTAATTATCAAAAAACTAATAAAAAGAGCGAATTAAACTTTGTTGGATGTCAACAAATAAATAAGCGTTTAATAAACAAATTGTGGAAATTCCCTTCCTTTTTTGGCTTCAGACGTCATTGGATGGCATACATTTAATAAAACAATAAATATTCTACAGTGTATATTCAGTCTACAGTTTCTGGTGAAAGCTAGTTATTAATTAACGCTACTAAGGACAGGAGAAGGGCAAAAATTGCATGTTTGTCATTGTTGCAGCCATTTTTAATTTCTTCTCTGCTTGGTAAGCACACGGACCGAAATGTCAAGATGAAACCCGCGGGGGGTACTCCTGGAAATTCTTGGGGGGAGCGTGCCGCCCGGTTATCCAAATCCTGACCCTATATCAGTACAAAAATGTCATTTTCCACACCTGTTTTCAGACCAGACCTCTAAAATGCATACCCGTTTTCAGACCTGGCCTGAAGGCAAAAATTATGTCATCATTACTTAGATTAGAGCGCAAATAAAAAAATTCTTCAAATGTATTTCGAATTCCCATATTTCTAATTCGTTCTTATTCATTTGGAATTGAAACGATAAATACGTTCATAAGCTCCCATAGTTCTCTCGAAAACCATTCCCGATTCGACACCAAAATGATCAAAGTGTATAGTACCCGTTTTCAGACCAAAAAGGTCCAAAAGCCAATACCCTTTGGGGCGGCACACATATACCTATAGTTCCAGCGAGACTTTGGAACCTTAAACTGAAAACGTCCCTGTGTTTTACATATTATTTACAGATGATTTATGGTTATTTGTTTTATTTATTCAGGAAATGTCATTTTGAAAAAAAGCCGCCCTTGAATGATCGCCGCAGGGCCGATAAAGGTTGGCGGTGAAACGAGCGCGTCCGAGCAGAAAGGTGTGATGCAGTGGACTGGGACTCTGTTTACTGCCGCTTTCACTGAATTATGGCGGCTTGAGAATTGAGTTATTTTCTTACACTTTTCTTCCTCGTTCCTTTGTTCTGGTACGCTGTCTCCAAGAGGCAAATGTTGCTAATTTTTTGCGCGAGGTTTAGTTGGAGTAAACAAACATCCGTTTCAAATGGTTTCTCTGGTTACTTCCATGACTCCACCACTGAATTATATTTTCGTTATATTACGCCAATGTCGATGTTATTCCAAAACAAAAACAACTAAATACTGTCTAAAACACGAAGGAAAATCTCATCCATGTCATCCATGGCAAAACTAAAAGACAGCAGATGGTTTTTCATAACTAGATGATGCATGTATTTTATAAATGCGTGCAGCTCGTGCAAAGTGTAATCACAGGTAACCCAGGCTCTGTGATAGTACCACAGTACGGTTCCAGTAAAATTACAGTGTTTGTATGGGGTAAAAATATCATCCTAAAATTTCTAGGAAATACTAAATAAAGATCAATGAAACTTACTCTGCAGTTAATTGTTGTTGTCCTTATTGCTCCAACGAAGTTTCGTGATAATTTGCAGTAATTTGTTCAAATTCACTCTATCTACAATAATAATATACAAGGTAGGAAACACGAGGTGCCATTTTCGCCGACATGCTCTCATTCAACACAACTTTTTCCACGAAATTCGAACTCCAACGGAAAATAAACATGCCAGGATCGTAGAAATAGGATAGCAGCAGATATAGAAACCAATGAAGCTTTCTCAGATAGAGAAACGAATCCCACAGACTTGGAGTTTGTCCAAGTCTGTGGGATTCGTTTCTCTATCTGAGAAAGCTTCATTGGTTTCTATATCTGCTGCTATCCTATTTCTACGATCCTGGCATGTTTATTTTCCGTTGGAGTTCGAATTTCGTGGAAAAAGTTGTGTTGAATGAGAGCATGTCGGCGAAAATGGCACCTCGTGTTTCCTACCTTGTATATTATTATTGTAGATAGAGTGAATTTGAACAAATTACTGCAAATTATCACGAAACTTCGTTGGAGCAATAAGGACAACAACAATTAACTGCAGAGTAAGTTTCATTGATCTTTATTTAGTATTTCCTAGAAATTTTAGGATGATATTTTTACCCCATACAAACACTGTAATTTTACTGGAACCGTACTGTGGTACTATCTCTGCAGACAATATTTACACATCAGTCTTTTTATCTCATTGTTTATGTCCCTTTGTAAAACGCATAAGGCCGCTGGGTTAATGGCATCGTTTAAAACCAACATCGGTATAGGAGTCGTCTCTTCAATGATTCTATGTGGAAAAGATTAACTAATACTACATCGCAAATATATTCCACAGCAAATTAGAAAAAATCCTGCTACAATCGGGCGCCATCTTCGCGAATGCCGATTTGTCGTGCTTGTTAATTTTCAATCCTCTCAGCTGTTTTGCCACCATTCCTACTGATCGGTCTTGTTGGTATACAACAATTGCTATTTAGAAAATAGCTCAAATAGGATAGGTGACAGGCTTACTACTTATTTGAACGTATGGCGCCAGTGAATGTGATTACAGAAGTACGAGAGTCGTCACAAGGCAAAAAGAGATCATATGAAAAACGCGACGACCTGCAGTTATGCAAGTTGAATATTTCAAAGGCTTCGCAAAGGCGATGTACCTATCCAATACCAAACTACAAACGTTCGTCAGAGGCGTAGCTAAACAGCAGTCTTATAAAAAATTGCCCCTAAATATCCCCACTGGAACCCAATTTAACATCGTATAAGAACATGTTGGGAATAACTCCCCCAACAGAGAGATCTGCCACTGCAACTGAATTTATAAACCAGTTCGTTTTGATGCGGAGCTGTCGTCTGGCTGTAGTTGATGAAGGGCTGTTGTACAGAAACTTTGGACCCGTCCGGTGTGCCTCGCGCGTGCTCTCTCTACTTGCTTCTATTGATCGTGTAGCTAGATCTGCAGGGTTAATATTGGTACGGCAACGTACTTCCATTGATGTGAAGCTGACGAGCTACAAATGCGTTCCACGCGGTTGCTAACATATACATAGAATCGACGGGATTCATTTGTGATGTAACCCAGTATGAATTTGCTGTCCGAGTAGTAGGCCACCGAATCCGGTTTCTGTTCGAGTTCTTTGTGGACAAGCCCAGTCATCTCAACCCCCAGAACGGCTGCCCAAAGTTCTAAGCGAGGTATTGTTGTGGCATGGGCTGCTGTCAACTTGGCTTTCCCGAACCCAAATGTTACTTGAACCTCGCCGGTGTTGTTGGCAATTCTTAGGTATAATACTGGGCTGCTTGCCATTTCGGAGGCATCGCAGAATGTATGCATTTCCATGCGAGCGGAACATTTTCACGCCTCTCTACCGTAAGAGCTGGGAAACTTAAGAAACGGTCCAGATAAGAACGATAGCAACAACGGCAACGAACATGTTGGAATGCAAAAAAGGTGCTAACTTTTCTAATGTCTGTACTTACTTCTGATTGGCTTAAACAGCAAACGTTAACAAAACTTCATAAAGCAGTACATATATTCATCCTTACTTTCCAACCATCTTCCCAATTCCATATAACAAAATCTGGACTCAGTTTGCATTTGCTCAATGTCGGCTACCAGAGCGACTGGATCCTGACAAAAACGTAACAGCACCCCAAGAAGGTTGCTAGTCAGGTCAGGACCTGGCAATAACAGCTTGTTAAGAGACACCCCGTTAGATTCGGCAGCTGCATCGAAGACTACATGTATTTTGTTCTTCTTTTTAGGGTGATATAAGCCGAAGTGAGGCAGGTACCAACAAAGTTTTTCTGGTCTGAGATTTTCCTGCGGAACGATTTCAGCATGATTGTGATCGAAAATCTTCTGCGTGACAGTAAAGTACTGTTCCTTCATAACTGGGTTTTTATCTAGGGTTCGACGTGTAGACTTAGGGCGTTTCATAGCATTCACTCGGCTACTGGGAAGATCCTTGACATCCTGTCGGAAGAGCAGTGGAGCTTCCCAGCTATAATTATTAATAATCATCATCTTTATTGAGGAAACTTTTTCATAAAAGATATGGTTTTCAAAAAGGACCTCAAAACTAGATATATATTATAAAAACAGAAAAAGCTATAAAATTGCAAAGGGATTAAAAAGATACAAAAAATGCATAAAAAATTAAAAATAAGTATAAGTAAAAATTAAACGTAAGTAGCTATATTAAAAACTTAAAAACATTACGTTTAAAACTATTTACATTCCTTGAGTCTTTGATCGTCTGACTGAGGGAGTTAAAATCGGAAACGGCATGATATTGTGTTCTTTGCTTCCCCCAATTTCTTTTGACACGTGGTAATCTAAAATTGCCTTTGTTACGTGTATTATGCCTATGAAGTACGTCTTGTCTAATCAAGTCCATATCGTGATTAATTAGGCCATTGATGCATTTGTATACGTGTACACACCTTCTTTGAAATCGCCTTTTCTCTAGAGGCAGCCACTTGAGAACGGCTAATGCCTCAGTGGAGGATCAGTACAATGGTCTATTTAAAATAACTTTAGCGGCCTTATTTTGAAAAACTTGCAAACTAGACATAAGGGTAATATTATGTTTATCGCCCCATACTAGATCAGCATATTCAAAAAGGGGCATAACAAGACTTTTATAGAAAAGTAGACGCGCCCTGAAAGGCAATAAATCAGGCTTTATACGCTTGAGAAGCCCAAGCCTCTGATTGATTTTCCCAGTTAGGTGTTCAATATGATCAGTCCATGTGAAATCCGAAGATATATGTATACCGAGGTATTTAAAGCTGCGAACATTACTTATACTATGATCTAAAATTGAAACAGTCAAATCTACTTTGCTTTCGCGTTTCAATTCCGTTTTGTTTCAATTTTGTTTGCTTCCGTTTTCATTCGTTTTCGTACCATCCTCTATGATCTAGGTCACAGTCTCCTCAAAGGAAGACTTCAGAAGGCTACACTCATCCAAAGTTACTGGACAGGTTAAGAAAAGTGGAAGTTATTGTGGATCAGATGATGAAAGGTGCTTTATATTAATCAAAGGGTGCCTAAGGCTAAGGGCCTGTTTACATGGAGGTGGGGGACCCCAGGTAGGTGAGGTAACCCGCTTAGGTGGGGTAACCCGCCTGTCCATACAATCTCTCATTTTCATTTGATCACGTTTACATGATAGGTGGGGTGACCCGCCAAGGCGGGTAGCTCGGTCTACCAGACCGGGTTACCCTCTCAGCCGGGGTCACAATTTGTCATGTAAACGTTTCAAGGTGGGGTAACCCGCCTAGCCGGGGTCGGATTCGTGATACATCAAATTCGCGCAAAATTCACTTTCGCGGTGTCTTTGCATTATGATTAAAGTTAACAATAGAAAGCTATTGCACTGACGGGTTGCAGCAAGAGCAACAAGTGAGTGAAAAAGTGCATTAATCGCCAAAACTCGTGGTTTGCCAGCATTTTTCTTGTTTACGTGCTTAGCGACCATTCAATAATCTTGAGAAAGTGCACCCCGGGAAGGCGGGGTTGTAAGATTGCATGTAAAGGCGGGTTATTTTTTTACCTCACCTAAGCGGGTTACCTCACCTACCTGGGGTCCCCCACCTCCATGTAAACAGGCCCTAAGTTGTGGATTATTAATTTCTGTATTTTAGAAATAAAAGGTGATAATGAACCTGCAATTAGTCTACCGGTATATTTTAAGTCTGTCCAAAAATGAAAATGGGGCTTTACGAAAAAAAAAAAGTCTCCAACGGTGAGAGTCGAATCCCGGACCTCTGACGTGTAAGGTCAACGTGTTATCTATTGCGCCACGACAACTAATATTCATTACTACTATTACTTTCGTTAAATTAATCATCTTTAACACTTTTGCCCATGAAATTCTGCCGGTCGACGCTGTTTGAAGCCGGTAGGGCTTTATTTATGAAGAATTGAAAGATATATTCGAGGAAAACAAGCATGGTTTTGACAGTTTAAGCCATACTTTAACTCATTTCGTCACATTTGAAGACCATATGGCCGACAAGTCTCTCGCAAAACGGTTGCGGAGTCTCTTGCACCTTGCGATTCCTGGCGATTACATGAGGAGTTCTAACTAATTATGATTCAACAACAGTAAATATTGCTGTTTTTATTGACAAAGAAACATTTCATTTCAGAATGATATTTCACTAAAAACCATGAGATTGGGAGTCTTGTTGTGAGAAAAGTTAAAAAATCGTGAGACTCAGGGCAGAATCGTGAGCTTGGACCAGCTTGGTAGTCGAAGAGCAATATATTTTATTGCTAATCTTTCCATCATGTTTATTGTGTGGATGAGTCAAAAAGCTTCAAAAGTTCATAAACTTCTGTCTCAAAGTTGGCCATAGTGCTAATTTGAAACATTCAAAGTCCACATGAATACCATGGTCCTGTGACTCCTCTGAGATGTACAAAATCAGCACATAATTGCGGAACGGGAACGATCTACGACAGTTGTCATTTTGATGTCGGTCGCTTTCGTGCAGGGTCAACTGATTTACGAAAGGTGTCTACATCTGAGTGACACATTTGCATATCGCAGTGCCCACAATAACTTGTTCCTTATGCTACGCATAATCCACAAGTTAAAAACTGTACAGATAAATGAATTCATTAAATATATAAATGAGTGTTAAGCTTACCCTTTCTAATGAGCCAACCTCACCCCCTTCCCCCTTCCAGGCTTCTCCAAAAAATTTAACCCATTTACCACTAGAGAAGTGGTTTTCTTGTAACTGATGTACTTTAAGGAGCTAAAACTTACCATAAAGCCATTTACAGGCCTTACACTTTGCAGCCTTCTAATCCAGATGCAAAATTAGCTTGTGAAGTTCTGGCATATGCAGAAAGCATAATTTTACGATAGGTTTTTTTTTTTAGTTCAGTTGCCTCTGGTGGTTTGCATTGATTATGACTCTTGCATGAAGAAAAAAAAGTTTTGAGAGATCCTTTGTTGGCAAAATAAAGTAGTGCATTCAAAATCATTTCTTTTTTATTCTAACTTGTTTGATTTAATTGCTTTTCAGAGAATGATAAACAGTATCAAGTTAACTGAATGGCAGCGTAAAGCTAGCGTAAATTATTGTTCACAAGAAAAGTATGCATTGTACAAGAGGATTTTCATTGTTAAGATCAATGTTGGCAAAAGTTCTAATTTCATTCCCATGGTTAAATAAAATTTGCCAACTTACTACCAACTTTGACAAAAAAATCTCTCTGTCTCTTTGGCTACAGCATATAACATTTACTGGCAATTTAGAACCTGTTAATGCATTATACACTGTAGCTACATAAGGGCAGTGTTCATCAGCAGCCATGTCAGGGAATCCTTTACTTGCTTGCAGCCACATTTTCCAGAATTTTGCTGACCCACTGCTGACAGGTTGGGTGATCCCTAGCGTCCGTCAAAGATCTAATCTAACCCTAGTTAGTAACTTCAGCAAAGCAGCACCAATATCTTTGTTCTGGGCCCCCAAGGGACTCAACAAATTATTGGAAATGTGTTTTGCTTTCTCTTCAAACTGATTGGGAAATTGACAGTAACAATTTTTTAACAGGCTAATCATGACACATACTCAAATCCTGGTACACATAGGGAGCCCTAGAATGAGGATTTTGGCACTGTTTCAGAGACAGACTTAATCAGAGGTTTAGTCTCATCCATGGTGCAGGCTAGGTGATGCCAGGTTATAAAAAGTGGAAAAAAGACTAAAAATCAGAGCACTCATAGTGCTAACATGATCTGAAGGCCCTTAGGGGTCGATGGTGCTGGGGATATACAGTATTTTTATTTTGTTTCTGTGTCTACAGTTGAACCTTCATTAAGCAGCCATCCTCAAGGTACTGGCAAGTGACCACTTATGGAAGTTGGCCACTCAGTAGAGGTCTGTCTTAAATTGCCATCACAGCATAATCTTTAGTAGAAACATCACTTTATTTTGAGACAACCAGACCAAGGGAGCAGCAGCATTACTGGTCCACAATCCGTTGTCACCTTTTTTTAGACTGTATTATTTTCCCTTCATCATATTCTTGAAATAAAGCCAAACTAAGTGTATCAAGTGCTTGATGGCTGCGTAATAGAGGTGACAGGACGGGAGGTATTGGGACGGCCAAAAGGAGGAGGGTCAACTATAGTTCAGTACAACCTGTTCCTACCTCGGTGATCTACATGTATAAGTACGGCAATGACTTGTGTACTTCCGCTCTGATATAACATGTTTATTAGCCTTTATTTACTATAAATAAATAAATAAATAAATAAATAAATAACTAGTTGTAGCAGTGCTTTTAGAAAAGTTTAAAGAAGCCCATAGCATTTTTAACCTGTAACATTAAGGTTGCCCAGCATATCATTTTGATGACAAACTCTGATATCTTAGTTGCCCGAGCGAGAGCAGGCCTATAGACCCCTTTACGGTTGTAATGGAATACAAAATCAACTAATCCTTGCTTATTGAATGTGTTTGTCACTTTCCCCTCGACAAATGTAACTTAAAGACGCTACACATTAAATCTGGAGTGTATGGCAGTCCATTGTTGCATTTTAGTAAAGTTGAGTTCTTCCATACATTTTCTGTCATCTGACAACACAAAAATTACACATAATGTATGAAAGAAGTCAAATTTTTCTAAAACGCGACAAAGGACTGCTTTGCTCTCCACATTTAGTGTATAGTTTCGTTAAGTTCATTAGTTAAAGTTTGCAAAAAGAAAGTGACGAATATATTCAATTAGGAAGAATTAGTTGACTTTGAATTCCCATACAAACTTTTCACTTCCCGGCCATCTTGTCCAGGTTACCTAGCATGCCCCTCACCACCGTGAAGAGGTCTAAGTACGTTGCCAGGGGTCACTGAGCACTGCTAGAGCACAGCCCTGCTACCTTTTACAATATATTTCAAAGCCTTCTGATGGGTTGGCCTCCCAGAAGCAAGGAAACAGCAATTTATTAACACAGCAACACCGACCTAGCGGCTGGGCGGCCTGTGAGATATCGTCCAGAAGGATCTGGGGCTGAGGTCAAAACTGGGCACCAGGCCTTGTCAGTTACCAAATCTAATATGGCGGATAAAATAGTCCGTGTTTGTATTCGTCTTGGTATTGGAGGATTATTTGTGATAAATGCTTCTGGGGAGTTATTTCCCCATCAGGCTTGTAAGCAAGTTAACGCTCTAAAAGATGAAAATGGCATCCTCGTAGACGTTCCTGAGACATGCCGCGAACAGTTTATAGAAGTAGCCGTGAAACTAGGTTTGAAGAACAGTGCACAGAAAGTGACCTTATTTGTGAATGAAGGTTTTCATGCTGTGTCTGCCGGCTCGACATGGTTTCCTGGGGGAGCAGTGATAGGTTTGCCAAGGTGGTATTTGTATCAAACTAAAGAAGATGTTGCAACTTCCGGTCTGAAATTCCAAGAAAGAAATATCCAGTGGGATTCAGAATTCGGAGAAACTGTGAAATTTTGTTATGTTCCAACGAAAGATATGATCGGTTTCACCATTGGCCACGAACTAGCTCACATCCAACGCTTAGAATTCAAAATGTTTGATATTTTTGCCTCGCCTTTCTGGTTGTTTCTGACATATAAAATGATCCGTTTTGTCCATTATAGAACTTTTAAAAAGCAAGCCATGTGGAACTTCCTTCTTAATCTAAGCGTTTGTGGAGTCAACTACTTTGCTTACAGACTTGTGAATCGAAAGGTACATCACTTTAGTGAATTCAATGCAGACAAAATTTCTGCTGAGTGTACTCCGCAGTTGGCTAAAGGTGGAGTAGACTTTTTCACAAGAAGACTGAAACTAAATCTTGTCCAGCGAAGTTTGCTTGGAGAAGAAGGTGAAGAATTTTTTACAGAAGATGGCAATGAAGTGAAATCCTACACACATCCACAGTTGACTGACAGACTGGATAAAGTAAAATTCATCCTTAGTAGTTCTGACTTCCAACTGGACTTGCGTTAGGTAAGGTGATAGGCTGGTTGATAGTTACATATTACACTCAATGGTGACGTTTACTCTTGATAATGATTTTGTGCCATCGGGATGGTAAATAAAAGGTTAATTTAAAGGTGGGTGAAAAAGTGAGGGTTTAGAATTTGATGAGGGGTGTCCCATTTAAAAAGACATTTACTAACTACCTTCCTAGCCAGTGCCCAGAAACAGGTTTGAGAAGGAAACTGCAGATAACAGTTGATATTTCCCTAAGGTGTCATGTAATCTGAACTTGCATGTAGTAAAAGACAATATAGTGTGAGCATTACAGCTGTTGGTCTACTGTAAAATAGGGTCACAAAAATTTCTGCTGAACGAAGTTTAACACAGGTTTTAAAAGTTTGGAAGTCCCAGTAGCACCTTGCCACCAAAATTTGCACAGAGGTAAAATACCCTACATCACCTCGGATGGAGCTAAGGAAAAGCTAAGCATGCTTTTTTATCAGTCAAGCCAGAGTTCTTTCTTAACTGCACCTTCAGAATTACCTGTTGTTGTTTTCTAAAGTAATTTAATCTCTATTCCAGTGGCTGAAATTAGCCAGCAACTGGCTCTTAGTTATAGCCTCCAGCCCACACAGATGTTCTCGGGGCTTTACCACATATAAATAATTATTATTTTTATTAAAATTGAATTAATTTTGAGGTGACACCTTGTTAGTTTGGAAGTTTAATATGCACTGTCTACAAAAGGTTTCATTAGTTAAAGCCATATTATAACTATTAGCATATAGGAAAAATGGTGGCTGTTAAATTATGTCTAATTTGATTCACTGAAGAGTGAAAGAAATCCCATGTCCTTGGAGAATTTTTTGCATTAATTGCTGTGGGATCTATGGGAAACATTTGATATCCTTTTCTATTAGCTAATAATTGGCTTCTGATCATGCTCAGTTGGCATTTCAATCACAAACACAGCTGTTTGTTGATAAGAAATTACCTACCTTGTAAATAAGACATGCTTAGGGGTTGGCGGCGCATTCTCTTAAGGAGACATAAGCAGGGAAAGGCCACAAGGCTGTCAGGGGCACCCAATGTCAATTTTCGGAAAATATCTGTTCGGAAGATGATTTGAGATCTAGAATTTTCCGAACATTTTTTGTAAAATTTCTTGCTTGCCTACCTCTCCTAGGATTTTCGAACATCTAAAAAATGGTATAATTGCCCATTTTTAACGGATTTTTACCCTAAGAAGGTCACCTAGAATTTTCGGGAGCTTTTTTTCTGGCTGAAATTTTTGAAAAGGTAAGTTTTGATCCCTATAATTTTCTGATCACTAGACTTTCAGCTACGAAATCCGAACAGATGAAAAATTTTTAGGGGATAAAAATATGCCGATATCTACCGTTTAAATACTAAAATACGTTTAACAATGCTATGTTTAAGTGGTTTTGAACTATATTCTCGTTGGGTGCCCCTGGGCTGTGTGCTTTAACTTTATTGAATTTGCCACAGTGACAGGGGATGAAAGAGGACTTACATCCCAATTGCTTTTGAAAGGGTATACCACACCTCCATGGTCTATGCCCACTACTCTTTGCAACCAACCTTTGACATGTAAAAAAACAGATGTAAACTTATTTATTTATTTATTATTTATTTTATTTGCCATACAATAATTACAAAAAATGTAGGAAAAGAAGAAAAAAAGAAGTGGCGAGGAGACCTAACAGAAACTATAGGAGCTTATGAGAGGTTAGGCCTCCTCAAACTATGAGATAGAGCTGTTTCACATCATTTTAAGAAAAGAAGGGGAAAAGTCGAAGATGGAAAGACTTATGAACTGTTTTCATACTTAGTCAATAATTTAATCTTCAGTTTTTTCTTAAAAGAGGAGAAGGATTGAGAGTTGATGACCTTGTTGTCAAGTGAATTAAAAAACTTAGGCCCTTGAAAAAAGGGCGAGAACTTCTTCGTAACTTAAGTTACCTGTGTTATTGTATCTAATTTTCTAATTCTGTTATTGCTCTTTCTTGACTGCAAAATATTGGTCAGTCAAGGTATTCATCTCAAATAAAAAATGAAATATTCGTGACGTTGTTAAGACTGTCAAGGGAAACCCCCAATAGGTGTTATTAAAAACCATTTAAACATGGAATTTATAATCAACCAATCAAAATCACTATTCACCTCCTAAGCGAGGCAGAAGCTAATTTCTTGGGTTTTTAAAAAATAGAGACAGGTGCATATTACGCTAAAGACGATTTTTTTTACATCTTTATCAACAGGAAATCGAGAAAAAATGGATTAATAATAACGAACAGGAATTTATCATAAAATGCCAATAATTTATTCCATGGTTAGAATTGCGCTATATTTAAAGTGAACACATTCAACGAATTTGTTTGCAGTATACACTCTAAGTTTAAGCTTTTACAATCTAAAATACATTTTGCCAAGTCGACCAACCTCAGGAGGAAGCTATTTTCCTTTTAAGGCTCTTTTGATATCACGCTTAAAGAAAGCGTATGCCAAAGGGTTTATTGCAGAGTTCAGAACTATCATAGGTATTTTGTACGCAAAGTCACTTTTACACGAAAGGTGTAGTTGAGTTGTATGGTTTCCTAAAACTTTAATTTGAAGAAAGCTACATCGCAAGTAAGTTGCGAAACAAGCTAGAGCGAAGCCTACCACAACTGCCAACATCACAACTGCTGATTTGTCATATGCGTTGAATATCAAACCTCGGTGGTTGAAACGTAACTGTTTTGCTAAGATGGCTGATAATCGAGTTTGCTTGTATACAACTGTTAACATGGAAATAAAACAGAAGCTTAACATGCAGATGAAGAAAATCTCGAGGATCGCAAACTGTACGGCTAAGAGCATCGAACATATCGAAAATGTTAAATATAAAGTCATGAAAAGAGACCAAATTGCAAGACCAAGAGGAATCACCCAAGAAATAAATGTTAGATGGGTTACTCGTCGCGCAGTCATGAAGGTGACGTATTTCAGTGGCTTTACAATAGCCATATACCGATCTAGTACGAGGCTGCACAGGTTCATTATAGAGGCGTACTGAAAGAGCCGCCTTATGAATTCCACCCAGGACGCATAGGTTTGAGGCCAATCGCAGCCACCTCTGATGTGACAGACGAACAGTGAAGGAACAACGAACGCCCCAACACAGAAATCCGCCACCGCAAGTGAAAAGATGAACGCGTTGGTTTTGGTGCGAAGCCGACGCCGACTGCCCACAAGAAGTACGGTGAAACCATTTCCAGCCATCGTCAGAATGGACAGAATCCAGCCAAGAATCCAAAACCAAGTTCCCATTTTATATTCGGTACAGAGCGTTAGCTGGGCGGTCAAGTTTATGTCTTTGAAAGAAGCCGGTTTGGTTATTTTATAAACATCTGGTAACGTTTGCCCCTTATCTGACGAACATTATACATCAATCAATCAATCAATCAATCAATCAATTAATCATTTATTTTAAGACGTTACGTCAAAGAGCTAAAAAACTCGTTCAAAATACGAACGTATATGAATAAAATCTATAATAATTACGGCTATGTTATAATATTATTCAATTTTAAAAACAACTCAATAAATATATACATATAAAAAACTTGGTAATTAAAACATAAAATATAAAAAGCTAAAACCGACTAAAAAGTCACATACTTAAAACGTGACTAGGAAACTATAATACTCGTTCTAAATAGCTACAATCGTGCACTTTACTGCTGAAGTCATTAGTATCACTTGAAAGACGCACTTGAGAAGGCGAGCTGTTCCATAACATAGTTAATAAATAAGTGAAAGAATTCTTCTTAAATGTAAGATTAAAGTTAGGTAATTCCAAATTCAAGCCCTCGCCTCTTAGCCTATACGGTGTATGCCTGTATTTAAAAAGGCTTCCAATATAAGTAGGTCCTGTACCATTTAAGCATTAAAAAAGAACAAGTATTAACGCCTGGTGTAAGCGCCTACAATATAAGGATGTCATATATAGTACGTCAATTTATTATTGCTACGTTGATTGCAGGACAGCAAAAGCGTTTAGACCAATAAGAAAGGTCGTTTTCAACTACGTTCTTACTTACATTTAATGAAACTTCCGCTCAACTCAACTAAAAACAATTTTCTGGAGACGTAAGGCTCCTATTATCAAATGCAATAAGACGCTCTGTCGCTCTGTCTTATTTTGGCTTGATTCATCTGTAACAACCGATATTAATTGTAGTAATCAAAAAACTAATAAATAGAGCGAATTAAACTTTGTTGGATGTCAACAAATAAATCAACGTTTAATAAGCAAAGTGTGGAAATTCCCTTCCTTTTTTGGCTTCAGACGTCATTAGATGGCATTCATTTAATAAAACAATTTATATAAACATTAATGAATTACCAGGTGAGCTTTCGCGCGAAACCTTGATATCTTCACATGTGAAAATAACATGTTATCTTCACATGTGAAAATATCACCGTTGCTATGGCTTCATAATAAATTGCGCCTTTCACACCAAAAAACTATAGAAAGTGAAATGGTTTGGTAGTTCATTGGTGTTTATATAATAAGCGTGAGCCAGAGGATTTATGGCCGAGTTTAGAACAAACAATGGTATTTTATATTTGAAGCCATTTTTACACGAACGGTGAGTTGTATGGTTTCCCCAAATCTGAACAAACGCACATCGCAAGTAAATTGCGCAACAAGCTAGAGCATGCAGCTGAAGAAAATCTCGAGGAGCGCAGAGAATACCCTTACGACTATTCTACATGAAGAAAATGTTAGATACAAAACCATGACGAGGGCAAAAATTACAAGACAAAGAGGGATAACAGAAGAAATTGATGTAAGTTGACACATCGCGCAGTCATGATGGCGACTTTTTTTAGTGGCTTCACAACAGCCATATACTGATCAAGTGCTAAGCTGCACAAGTTCATTATAGAGGCGTACGCAAAGAGCTACCTTATAAAATCCACCCAGGACGCATAGGGTCGAGGCCAGTTGCAGCCACCCCTAATGTGACAAAAGAACAGTGAAGGAACAACGAACGCCCCAACACAGACATCCGCCACTGAAAGTGAAACGATGACGGCGTTGGTTTTGGTGCGAAGCTGTCGTCGACAGCTCACCAGAAGCACAATGAATCCATTTCCAGTTATCGTCAGAATGGACAGAATTCAGCCAAGAATCCAAAACCACGATTCCATTTTATTATCGGTACAGATCTTTAGCTGAAAGAAGTACGTTGAGTTCCTTGAAAGAAACGTATGACAACTTAAATCTATTAAAGGGACAGTGTCCCGATTATGCGCACGCGCGAGCGTCATCTGTTTTTTCTTCAAAAGACAATAGAACTGTCAAATTGACTCGACAAGATTTCCTTCCGGACCACAACGCCGACAGAGATTTCAGGGGCACCCAACGAGGATATAGTTCAAAACCACTTAACAAAGCATTGTTGAACGTATTTTAGTATTTAAACAGTAGATATAGGCATATTTTTGTCCCCTAAAAACTTTTCATCTGTTCGGATTTCCTAGCTGAAAGTCTAGTGATCCGAAAATTGTAGGGATCAAAACTTACCTTTTCGAAAACTTCAGCCAGGAAAAGGCTCCCGAAAATTCTAGGTGGCCTTTTTTTAGGGTAAAAATCCGTTAAAAATGGGTAATTATACCATTTTGTAGATGTTCGAAAATCTTAGGAGAGGCAGGCAAGCAAGAAATTTTACAAGAAATGTTCCGAAAATTCTAGATCTGAAATTGTCTTCCGAACAGATATTTTCCGAAAATTGTCGTTGGGTGCCCCGAGATTTGTTGTTCATATTCTCAAGTAATATTTTAGACTTTCGAAGAAGTCTTTCGTCTTATATAAAAATTTGGCTCGCGGTTCGAAGACTCATCGCGATTTTATCGCTAGCTGGGCCGCCTCGCGACCCGAAAATCTCGTTCCGCTCGCTTTAAAAACATATTTTCTAATTTGAAACTTGTGTCAGAGGTCAATCGCTCAAAGTCCAGTAATATCTGCCTGATTTGTTCGCGTTCTAGCCTCAAACGTTTGAGAGACATAAATAAAAATGCAATCTCAACGCTATGAATCATCACAAAGGTTAGTCAAGAATGATTTTATGATTCATGTCACTAGTTTTTCAAAACGTGTAGCGCCTGTTTGTTCGATTTTGTCGGCCGTAGGGAGATTCATTTAAAAGTTTACTAACGCGTCGTTGCAAAACATTCTGCTTCACGAAGCTCCCCTCCACAAGATCTCCTCAGTCACATCAATGTCTCAACGGTTTCTTTCTTACAGTCTTAATTGTTGCTGTTTCATTTCTGCGTATTCCTTTCACAATTAACTGAGCTTGTATGGAAGCTAGCAGAAGAAATAAGCCTTCAATCGGCATCAAAGTGCTTCCAATCTTTTGGTCCTCCGGCCAACGGCAATAAAAGTAACACCAAAAAATCCAGATTTTGCCCAAATAGAAACTTAACAGGAACAATATATCATTGATCTATAATCCTGAGAAGTTTTAGTGTCGTATTGAACCCGGCCAAGCGCGATGCAAACGGATTTTTCAAGATTCTCTTACTGTCCTCGCATCTTTTGATTTCGCGACATCCTGTCCAAAAATCAAAGTTTGGTGCATGCGCAGTAACGGGATACTGTTCCTTTAACATCTGCAACAACTGCGGCGTCTTCAGCTTCTTATCATGCGAGCATAATAAGCGTATACGTCAATTTATGATTGCTAAGTTGAAACCAATTAGAAGGTTGTTTTCAAGATATTGTTCTTGAAATTTAAATGAAGCTCTTAGCTCAACGAAAGACCATTTTGTGGAGACTCAGTGTCGCTACCCTTGGCAATTAACGCTCCGGCATCCTTTTCTATTTTATAATGGACCACTCGTTGATAATTCTTGTATCATATAATTCTTAATTCTTATATAATAATTCTTATATTAACTGAAGAAAAAAAACGAACAAAATAAGCGATTAAATTTCTGTTGATGACAAAAAATTCAAGCAACTTTTATGCAAAGCTTGGAATTTCGAATCCGCTTACTATTCTGGCTGGTGACGACATTTAAATGATATCAGTAGGAACTAATTTTGTTTAGATTATTGATAATACAGAGAAATCATGTGAACTTTCTGAATTCTGTATTAGGAAAAAAAAAGGTAAAGGTGGCTTCTCTTTTCTCAAAGGAGAAAACTCACTAATGAAATGAGCGAATAACTTTTGTTGATGACAATAAGTCACTCAACGTTTATGCAAAGCATCGAATCCTAAATCCCCTTTCTCTTTCGGCTGGTAACGTCATAACATAATTATATTTCCACTAGTGATAGTAGTACCCAGAAAGCGAATGTACTGAATTCTGTATTTGAAGAAAGAACTAAACTAGACAAAGCTGGCTTATCTTATATCTTAATTTTTGTTGTTTGTTTCATTACTGTTAGGCGATTGGGAAGGGATCAGGATATCTTAAAAAACTAATTCCTAAACCTAGCTACCGATATAATAGGATTTTGAGTGATTCGTCTATGTCACAATGGCATATCTTGAAAAAACGTAGTCTTATGTTGTTTGAGTTCCAGTCGATTCAAAGGTAGAAACACTCTATTTTCTAACAGTTAAAATGGTCTAAAACGGAACATGAAATGTATTTACTATCACGTGCAATTTCTTGTTAGTTTCCGATTCATATCAGCACCACATAAGTCTGTTTTCCTAATGACTTATCTCAGTGGTAATATTATGATAATTATCCTTCCGAAGGTTCTTCTCTTCAGACAATATTTACACATTTGTCTTTTTCTCTCTTTGTTTACGTCCCTTTGTAAAAGGCATAAGCCGCTGGGTTAATGGCATCGTTTAAAACCAACATCGGTATAGGAGTCGTCTCTTCATTGATTCTATGTGGAAAAGATTAACTAATACTACATCGCAAATATATTCCACAGCAAATTAGAAAAAATCCCGCGACAATTGGGCGCCATCTTTGCGAATGCCGATTTGTCGTGCTTGTTAATTGTCAATCCTCTCAGCTGTTTTGCCACCATTCCTACTGATCGGTCTTGTTCGTATACAACAATTGCTATTTAGAAAATAGCTCAAATAGGATAGGTAACGGGCTTACTAGTTATTTGAACGTATGGCGCCACTGAATGTGATTACAGAAGTACGAGAGTCGTCACAAGGCAAAAAGAGATCGCCTAAGAAAAAAAATATCGTATGAAAAACGCGACGACCTGCAGTTATGCAAGTTGAATATTTCAAAGGCTTCCCAAAGGCGATGTACCTATCCAATACCAAACTACAAAAGTTCGTCAGAGAGGCGTAGCTAAACAGCAGTCTTATAAAAAATTGCCCCTAAATATCCCCACTGGAACCTAATTTAACATCGTATACGAACATGTTGGGAATAACTCCCCAAACAGACAGATCTGCCACTGCAACTGAATTTATAAACCAGTTCGTTTTGATGCGGAGCTGTCGTCTGGCTGTAGTTGAAGGGGGCTGTTGTACAGAAACTTTGGACCCGTCCGGTGTGCCTCGCGCGTGCTCTCTCTACTTGCTTCTATTGATCATGTAGCTAAATCTGCAGGGTTCAGATTGGTACGGCAACGTACTTCCATTGATGTGGAGCTGACGACCTACGAATGCGTTCTACGCGGTTGCTAACATATACATAGAATCGACGGGATTCATTTGTGATGTTACCCAGTATGAATTTGCTGTCCGAGTAGTAGGTCACCGAATCCGGTTTTGTTCGAGTTCTCTGTGGACAAGCTCAGTCATCTCAACCCTCAGAACGGCTGCCCAAAGTTCTAAGCAAGGTATTGTTGTGGCATGGGCTGCTGTCAACTTGGCTTTTCCGAGCCCAAATGTTACTTGAATCTCGCTGGTGTTGTTGACAATTCTTAGGTTTACGTAGGATACTGCGCTGCTTGCCATTTCGGAGGCATCGCAGAATGTATGCATTTCCATGCGAGCGGAACATTTTCACGCCTCTGTACCGTAAGAGCGGGGAAACTTGATATCTTCTAGATGTCGAAGAGAATGACACTCAGTATTCTTTCCATTCAGCCTCCCGTTTTGCAGCTAGAGGGTAGTCCCAGGCATTCGGGTACGAGGCGCTAAATTCAGTACTCAGTGATCTGAGTAAGCGTTTTCCTTTAATGATGACCGGTGCTGCAAGCCCCAGGGGATCAGAGAGGCTGTTGGTAACCTACACAACTCCTTGTCGTGTAAATGGTTTTCTTCTAGCAGCACTTAGAAGGTGAAAGGATCTGACTTTAAGTCCCTGTACACTCCTAATGATTGCTGTATGAAAACTGGGCGTTTGTTGAAGTCTAGGTTGTGGAGGCCACTTGCATGATCGTCAGGTGGGAAGGCTTCCATTACTTCAGCGTGACTTGGGGCAATTTTGGGATGGCGAAAGTTTGCGGTGGCTAGTATGGCTTGAATGCGACGTAGCAAATCTATTGGCATGGTTGAATCCGGAGCGGAATGGAGGCCATCGTCTACGTAAAAAAATTCTTTACGAACGACTTTGCGTCTGAACGGAACTTGGCTTCTCCTACCTCAAAAGTCTTACGTAGGGCGTAGTTAGCTACTGCCGTGGTGACGAAGTGTTCCCGAAGATATGGACTTTCATTCTGTACTCCGTTATCACGCCGTTTGGGTCTTTATCCTTGTATCACAGAAACCGTAGAAAGTCTCTGTATTCCTCCTTGAGTGAACATTTGCTCAATGTCGGCTACCAAAAACGTAACAGCACCCCAAGAAGGTTGTTAGTGAGGTCAGGACCCGACAACAACAGCTTGTTAAGAGACACCCCGTTAGATTCGGCAGCTGCATCGAAGACTACATGTATTTTGTCCTTCTTTTTAGGGTGATATAAGCCGAAGAGAGGCAGGTACCATCAAAGTTTCTCTGGTCTCAGATTTTCCTCCGGAACGATTTCAGCATGATCGGGATCGAAAATCTTCTGCATGAAAGTAAAATACTGTTTCTTCATTACTGGGTTTTTATCTAGTGTTCGACGTGTAGACTTAGGGCGTTTCATAGCATTCGCTCGGCTACTGGGAAGATCCGCTTGACTTCCTGTCGGAAGAGCAGTGGAGCTTCCCAGCTTAATTCTGTTTTCATTCTTTTTCATACCATCCTCTATGATCTGATCTGATCTAGGCCACAGTCTCCTCAAAGGAAAACTTCATGCAGAAGACTACACTCATCCAAAGTTACTGGACAGCTTAAGGAAAGTGGAAGTTATTGTGGATCAGATGATGAAAGGTGCTTTATATTAATCAAAGGGTGCCAGAGGCTAAGTTGTGGATTATTAATTACTGTATTTTAGAAATAAAAGCTGATAATGAACCTGCAATTAGTCTATCGGTATATTTTAAGTCTGTCTAAAAATGAAAATGGGGCTTTACGAGAAAAAAAAAGTCTCCAACGGTGAGAGTCGAATCCCGGACTTCCGACGTTTAAGGTCAACGTGCGGCAACGTGTCATCTATTGCGCCACGACAACCAATATTGATTACCCTCGTTAAATTAATCATCTTTAACACTTTTGCCCATGAAATTCTGCCGGTCGACGCTGTTTGAAGCTGGTAGAGCTTTATTTATGGAGAATTGTAAGATATATTTGAGAACAATAAGCATGGTTTTGACAGTTAAAGCCGTATTGAAGACCATATGGCGGACACGTGTCTCTCAAAATGGTTGCGAAGTCTCTTGCAGCTTGCGATTCCTGGCAATTTCATGAGGAGAATCAATTATGATTCAACAACAGTAAACATTTCCGTTTTTATTGAACAAACAAACATTTCATTTGAGAATGATATATTTCACTGAAAACCATGAGATTGGGAGTGTACGTTGTCGTGAGAAAAGTTAAAAAATCGTGAGACTCAGGGCAGAATCGTGAGCTTGGACCAGCAATTGGGAGTCGAAGAGCAATTTTTTATTGCTGATCTTCCCGGCATCATGTTTATTACCTGGACGAGTGACTGTGGTCCTGTGACTCCTGTGAAATGTACAAAATCAGCACATCGTGGAATGGGAACGATCTATGACAGTTGCCGTTTTGATATCGGGCGCTTTCGTGCAGAGCCGACTGATTTACGAAAGGTGTCTACATCTGAGTGACACATTTGCGTATCGCAGTGCCCACAATAACTTGTTCCTTACGCTACGCGTAATCCACATGGTAAAAACTGTATAGATCAATGAATTCATAAATATATTAAAGAGTACTAAACTTACCTTTTCTAATAAGCCAACCCCACCCCCCACCCCCTTCCAGGCTTCCCCAAAACATTTAACCCATTTACCGCTAGACGAGTGGTTTTCTTGTAACTGATGTGCTATAAGGAGCTAAAACTTACCATAAAGCCGTTTACAGGTCGTACACTTTGCATAGCTTGTGAAGTTCGGGCATACGCAGAAAGCATAATTTCTAGATAGTTTTTTTAGTTCAGTTGCCTCTAGTGTTTTGCATTATGACTCTTGCATGAACAAAAAAATGTTTTGAGAGATCCTTTGTTGACAAAATAAAGTAGTGCATTCAAAATCATTTCTTTTACATTCTAACTTGTTTGATTTAATTGCTTTTCAGAGAATGATAAACAGTATCAAGTTAACTGAGTGGCAGCATGGATTATTTTTCACAAGAAAAGGATGCATTGTCATAGAGGATTTTTATTGTTAAGATAAATGTTGGCAAAAGTTCTAATTTCCTTCCCCATAGTTAAATAGAAATTGCCAACTTACTTCCAGCTTTGACAAAAACAATCTGTCTGTCTCTTTGGCTACAGCATATAACATTTACTGGCAATTTAAAACCTGTAAGTGCATTATACACTGTAGCTGGGTAAGGGCAGTGTTCATCAGCAGCCATATCAGGGAATCATTTACCTGCTTGCAGCCGCATTTTTCAGAATTTTGCTGACCCACTGCTGATAGGTTGGGTGATTCCTAGCGTCCATCAAAGTTGTAATCTAACCCCAGTTAGATACTTCAGTAAAGCAGCACCATTATCTTTGTTCTGGGCCCCAAAGGGACTCAACAAATTACTGGAAATGTGTTTTGCTTTCTCTTCAAACTGATTGGCAAATTGACAGTGGCAATTTTTTTTACAGGCTAATCATGACACATACTCAAATCCTGGTACACAGAGGGAGCCCCAGAGCGACGATTTTGGCGCTGTTTCAGAGACAGACTTAATCAGAGGTTTAGTTTCATCCATGGTGCTGGCTAGGTGATCCCGGGTTACAAAAAGTTGAAAAAAGACTAAAAATCAGAGCACTCATAGTGCTAACATGATCTGAAGGCCATTAAGGGTTGATGGTGCTTGGGACATACAGTACTTTTATTTTGTTTCTGTGTCTACAGTTGAACCTTCATTAAGCAGCCACCCTCGGGGTGTGAAGTGCCCACTTAATGGAGGCTGGCTACTCAGTAGAGGTCCGTCTTAAATTAGCATCACAGCATAATCTTTAGTAGAAACGTCACTTTATTTTGAAACAACTACAAAGGGAGCAGCATTACTGGTCCACAATCCGTTGTCACCTATTTTGGACTGAATCCGCCGTACGGAAAAGATGGCGGCTACACATTTTACCACAATTCCTTTCGAACCTAACACGGCCAATTACACATAAAGTCATATATATATATTTTTGGTTGGGGGGGGGGGGGAATTCGTTTCTGTAATAGCAACATTGCCTATCCTAGGTTTGAAGTTTATAAAACTTTTCTGTGCATTTTTATGAGCAATTTTATGGTTTTCATGCGCTAAGAACTGTGGGTAAATGAACCAGTCGCCATCTTTCTAGGTACGGTGGATTATTTTCCCTTTATCATATTCTTGAAATAAAGCCAGACTAAGTGTATCAAGTGCTTGATGGCTGCGTAATAGAGGTGACAACAGTGGGAGAACTCTTGTTGGGACAGCCAAAAGGGGGAGGTTCAACTAGCAGTACAACTTGTTCCTGCCTGATCTACACGTATAAGTACGGCAATGACTTGTGTACTTCTGCTCTGATATAACATGTTTATTAGCTTTTATTTACTATAAATAAATAAATAAACAAACAAATAAAGAAATAGTCTCAGCAGTGCTTTTAGAAAAATTGATGGAAGCCCAGTGTTTTTAACCTGTAACATTAAGGTTGCCCAGCATATCATTTTGATGACAAAACTATGATATCTTAGTTGCCCAAGCGAGAGCAGGCCCATAGACCCCTTCATGGTTGTAACGGCATGATGGGTAATCAGGACAAGATGGTCGGAAAATCAAAAGTTTGTTTCGGAATACAAAATCAACTAATCCTTGCTTATTGAATATATTTGTCACTTTCCCCTTGAAAAATGTAACTTAAAGAAACTACACACTAAATCTGGAGTGTACAGCAGTCCTTTGTTGTGTTGTAGTAAAGTTGAGTTCTTCCATACATTTTCTGTTATCCGACGACACGAAAAAGCGACAAAGGACTGCTTTGCTCTCCACATCTAGTGTATAGTTTCTTTAAGTTCATTAGTTAAAGTTTGCAAAGAGAAAGTGACGAATATATTCAATTAGGAAAAAGTAGTTGACTTTGAATTCCCATACAAACTTTTGACTTCCCAGCGTTACCCAGCATGCTCTCACCACCGTGAAGAGGTCTAAGTCGTTGCCAGGGGCCACTGAGCACTGCTAGAGCACAGCCTTCTGATGAGTTGGCCTCCTAGAAGCAAGGAAACAGCAATTTATTAACACAGCAATACCGACCTAATGACTGGGCGGCTTGTGAGATATCGTCCAGAAGGATCTGGGGCTGAGGTCAAAACTAAGCACCAGGCCTTGTCATTTACTAAATCTAATATGGCGGATAAAATAGTCCGTGTTTGTATTCGTCTTGGATTTGTGATAAATGCTTCTGGGGAGTTATTTCCCCATCAGGCTTGTAAGCAAGTTAACGCTCTAAAAGATGAAAATGGCATCCTGGTAGATGTTCCTGAGACATGCCGCGAACAGTTTAAAGAAGTAGCCGTGAAACTAGGTTTGAAGAACAGTGCACAGAAAGTGACCTTATTTGTGAATGAAGGTTTTCATGCTGTGTCTGCCGGTTCGACATGGTTTCCTGCGGGAGCAGTGATAGGTTTGCCAAGGTGGTATTTGTATCAAACTGAAGAAGAAGTTGCAACTTCCGGTCTGAAATTCCAAGGAAGAAATATCCAGTGGGATTCAAAACTCGGAGAAACTGTGAAATTTTGTTATGTTCCAACGAAAGATATGATCGCTTTCACCATTGGTCACGAACTAGCTCACATCCAACGGTTAGACTTCAAAATGTTTGATATTTTTGCCTCGCCTTTCTGGTTGTTTCTGACATATAAAATGGTCAGTTTTCTCCATTACAGAACATTTAAAAAGAAAGCCATGTGGAACTTACTACTTAATCTAAGCGTTTGTGGAGTCAACTACTTTGCTCGGACTTGTGAATCGAAAGGTACAACACTTAAGTGAATTTAATGCGGACAACATGTCTGTTGAGTGCAATCCACAGATAGCCAAGGGTGGGGTAGACTTTTTCACAAGAAGGCTGAAACTAAATCTTGTCCAGCGAAGTTTCTTGGAGAAGAGGAGGAAGAATTTTTTACAGAAGAGGGCAATGAAGTGAAATCCTACACACATCCACGGTTGACTGACAGACTGGATAAAGTAAAATTCATCCTTAGTAGTTCTGACTTCCAACTGTACTCGCGTTAGGTAAGATGATAGGCTGGTTGATAGTTACATATTACACTCAATGCTGACGTTTACTTTTGATAATGATTTTGTGCCAATTGGACGGTAAATAAAAGGTTAATTTAAAGGTGGGTGAAAAAGTGAGGGTTTAGAATTTGATGAGGGGTGTCCCATTTAAAAAGACATTTACTAACTACCTTCCTAGCCTGTGTCCAGAAACAGGTATGAGAAGGAAACTGTAGAGAACAGTTGATATTTACCTAAGGTGTCATGTAATCTGAACTTGCATGTACTAAAAGATAATACACTGCAAACATTACATCTGTTGCTCTACAGTAAAATAGGGTCACAAAAAATTTCTACTGAACAAAGTTTAACACAGGTTTTAAAAGTTTGGAAGTCCCAGTAGCACCTTGCCACCAAAATGTGCACAGAGGCAAAATACCCCTAGATCACCTCAGATAGAGCTAAGGAAAAGCTAAGCAGGCTTTTTTATCAGTCAAGGCAGTTTACCTTTTGTCGTTGTTTTCCAAAGCAATTTAAGCTCTCTTCCAGTGGTCTAAATTAGCCAGAAACTGGCTCTTAGTTATAGCCTCCAGCCCACACAGATGTTCTCGGGGCTTTGCCACATGTACTTGATTATTGATTAATAATTATTTTTATTAAAATTGAATTATTATTGAGGTGACACCTTGTTAGTTTGGAAGTTCAATATGTACTGTCTACAAAAGGTTTCATTAGTTAAAGCCATTTTAAAACTATTAGCATATAGGAAAAATGGTGGGTGTCAAACTATGTCTAATGTGATTCGCTGAGAGTGGAAGAAATCCCATGCCCTTGGAGAGTTTTTTGCATTAATTGCTACAGGATGGGAAACATCTGATGTCCTTTTCTATTAGCTAATAATTGGCTTCTAATCTTGCACACCTGGCATGTCAATCACAAACACAGCTGTTTGTTGATAAGAAATTACCTACCTTGTAAATAAGACATGAGGAGACATAAGCAGAGAAAGGCCACAAGGCTGTGTGCTTTAACTTTAACTTTATTGAATTTACCACAGTGACAGGGAGTGAAACAGGACTTACATCCCAACTGCTTTTGAAAGGGTATACCACAACTCCATGGTCTATGCCCACTACTCTTTACAAACAGCAGTGTGGGTTCTATATACATTTCCCTTTGGCTTTGACATGTAAAAAAACAGATGTAAACTTAAGGTGGCTCCGTAATTAATACAAGAGCATTTAGCTGTGACCAATTTTCCGTCATAACTTTTTGGTTTTTAACGCGATGGCTGCGAAACTTTGCAAAGAACAACAGATATCATTCGGCAATAATACTGAAACTGCAAAAGCGTAAAGTCTCTTGGCCTTAATGACAACGCCACGAACCAAATAAGAATGAAGATTTATTGAGTGCACATACAAACGGCGTGGGTTGAAACTAAAACGGTAAAAAAGTAAAAAAGTTACAAGTTGCGACTAAAGTAAATTAGAGTAAAGAAATAACAAAACTGCAAAACGAGGACTGTGAAATACACTTACATTGTTTCGGCCAGAGAAAACTGCTGAAGCGGACTGCGAATAACGCGAAGCTAGGGACTAGCAAGAAACTAAAACAGAACTGCGCTAAGCGCGAACCAAAAATGAACTGCCCAAACTGTACTGCAAAATTACGATATATGAAAAATACGCTAGAACATGCGGAAAATAAAACTATAGAAACTTAGAAAGGCGCTAATGAAGATGAAACAGCAAAGAAACGCTAACGAGGGCGCGAAAACTGACAAAAAGGAATAAACACCTAAATTAACGCAAAAAAAAGACTAAACAAAAGGACGAAAAGAAGTATAAACTAATTTGCGTACGCAAAGGAAAAACAAATTACGCAAAAACGAATAATAGGAAAAATGTTACACTTGGATCTTACATACCGGCCCCATAAGTGAGGAGCACACGCGAGGCACTTAAATTAAACAATTAAAGATCTAAGTGTCTTTCTAAGAGTTCTTAATGTTCTCTTCTCCTGAATTCAGAAAATTGCACAGAAAATAACTCCAAAGGGAAAGTTCAAGCTTCTATCAGCAAGCAAAGTTTGTCAATTGGCCTCTCCAAAACTGCTCCTTTTACTTTCACCCTGGTACGGCGCACCAAACCTTTCTTGTCGGCGAAGACTTCTACCACTCTACCAAGGGGCCATGAGTTGCGAGGGGAATTTTCCGCGCTCACTAGAACAATATCCCCAACGGCCAGGTTCCTGCGAATCGTCGTCCATTTCTGCCTACTTTGGAGCAGAGGCAAGTACTCCTTAGACCATCTCTTCCAAAAAATATCTGCGAGATATTGCACTTGTCTCCATCTGCGTCGAGAGAAGGAGTCTTCTTTATGGAATAACCCAGGGGGCATCTGAGGCTCCGAGCGTAAAAGAAGCAAATGGTTTGGTGTAAGGGGCTCCGGATCATTGGGGTCACCTGAAACAGTAGTGATTGGACGACCATTAATAATGCTTTCCACTTCGCATAGGAGGGTGACTAAACCTTCGTCGTCAACAGCTTGAGTTTGAAGCAAAGCTCGAAGGACCTTGCGCGTTGTTCGAATGTAGCGCTCCCAAACACCTCCATAATGGGAGCCATAGGGGGGATTGAAGTTCCCCTTGATACCCTTCTGAAGTAGAGCTTCGTGAATCTTGTTGAGATTCCATGCGTTGATGGATTCCCTGAGCTCCCTCTCTCCGCCGGTGAAATTGGTGCCATTATCGGATCTGATCTCCTTTACCTGGCCCCTCCTTGCTATAAACCTTCTGAGCGCCATCAGGAAAGAATCAGTTTCCAAACTGTGCGCCACTTCAATGTGTACTGCGCGGATAGAAAGACACGTGAAAATGACCCCATATCTTTTCACAAGACTTCGCCCACGGCGTACCTGAAGAGGACCAAAACAATCAATGCCGACAGATGTAAAAGGTGGCTGACCTGGGGTAACACGATCCACGGGAAGGTCAGCCATTTTCTGCTCACAGAACGGGCCTTGACGCCGCCGGCAACTAAAACATTTCGAAAGAACTTTCCTGACAACAGAACTTGCGTTTACGATCCAAAACTTCTCGCGCGCAAGACTGATAACGTACTCTCTTCCAGAGTGACCGGAGATCTGGTGGTAATATTCTACTACAAGGTTGGTCACGTGATCCTTCTTGGGCAAAATAATCTGATGTTTGGCCTCAAATGCAGTGGACGCTAAACTTAACCTCCCACCGACACGTAAGACGCCGTTCACTAAGATTGGATCCAGACTTCGAAGGCTGCTGCTTTTCTTGACTTGCGTACCGTTTTCAGACTTGCTTAACAGCTCAAGCTCATCCGAAAAATTAAACTGCTGGACGTTCCTGAGGATTTCTAGCTCCGCGATTTCCAACTCCGTAACGGTAATTGGTGGTAAAGAAAGGATGGGAGTTGAATGGATCGGCTCTCTCGATTTTCCGCGTTTACTTAACCTTTGCAAGTTTCCACGGTACCGTAAAAACCATGCAACTGACTTCTTCAATCGGTGCCAGGAAGACGCGCGTGGAAAGTACTCAACCAAAGGATGCTCCGACTCGGAAACAGAGGCGTGACAAACCTTATAAACCATCTTCACTTCCGGGTCTCCGTCTTGAAGACATCCAAGTGATGAGGGGTTCCTAGGCCAATCTTCTTCTGACTTCCAGAGAAACTCCGGCCCCAGTAACCATCTTTGGCAGCTCAACAATGCATTGGCAGTCAACGCTCTTGAAGCGCAATCTCCAGGATTCGCTACACCTTCCACATAGCGCCATTGATCTGGACTTGAGCCCTCTCGTAGCACAGCAACCCGATTGGCAACAAACGTGTGGAGCCGCGTACTTTCGTTCTTCACATAACGAAGCACTGACATGCTGTCTGACCAAAACACGGATTCGCAATTAGGAGGCATCTCCAGCTCTTCCTTGAGCATCTTGTCTTGTCGCACAGAAACGGTTGCGGCCGAGAGCTCTAAACGAGGAACAGAAATAGCTTTCAAAGGAGGAACGCGTGATTTTCCAAACAGGAAGGAACAATCAACTCGGTCCTCATGGCTAACCAGTCGAAGGTAAGTCACTGAACCATAAGCAGCTTCTGAGGCATCAGAGAAGTGATGCAGCTGACTGGATTTAACGGGACCAAAATCCTCTGGCTTTAAACAGCGACTCACAGCAAACTCCGAGAGCTTTGGAACATCTGCTAGCCAATCTTCCCAACGTGCAGCGTACTCAGTCGGGATCTCATCATCCCATCCAAGCTTAATGCGACAAAGATCTTGAAGGATTTCCTTCGCGGTCAGAACGAACGGTGCCAGGAATCCCAACGGATCGAAAATAGCACTCGCTAGAGACAAGATACCCCTACGCGTTGGTGGACGGGAGCTAATGTTGACTTTGAAGCGGAACGAGTCGGATTCTACACACCATTGAACTCCTAGGACTCGCTGAACAGGCAACTCGTCCTTCCTTATGTCCATGTCCTTGATGTCCTTTGCTCGCTCCTTCTCAGGGATGGCTTGCAGAACACCACGGCTATTGCTGACCCATTTAGTTAGCTTGAAACCACCACGTGATAGTAAAGTGCATAAACTGCCAACATGCTCAACGGCTTTCTGCTCGCCAGGGAGGGACTTCAAACAATCATCAACATAAAAGTTTCTTTTAACTGTGTTAATGACGTCAGGAGGGAAACTGTGACGGTTATCTTCTGCTGTCTTGCGGAGTGCGAGATTTGCGCAAGCCGGTGATGAAATGGCTCCAAATAAGTGAACGACCATCTGATATTCTTGTAATTCGCTCGCCATTTTGCCATCCTGCCACCAAAGAAAACGCAGAAAGGAACTGTCAGGATCGGGAACTCTCACTTGGTGGAACATGGACTCTATGTCCGCCATAACGGCCACTTTCTCTTCACGAAACCTCAACAGGACTCCTACAAGCGAACTGGTTAGGTCCGGGCCCTTGTACAGCATGTCATTGAGAGACTTTCCCATAAATTTGGCCGAACAGTCAAACACAACGCGGATCGTTCCTTGCTTGCGAGGGTGGTAAACACCATGGTGCGGTATGTACCAGGCGGTGCCCTTCGCGGGGCTCTTCTGATCAGGGGACACTTTGCGTGCATATCCTTTGGAGAGAATGTCTTCCATAAAGGCCTTATAATCTTGGTACAACTTCGGGTCTCTTTCCAGCCTTTTCTTCAACCAAATGGCGCGCTGCCAGGCCTGAGCCTTGTTGCTAGGTACAGGCGTTTGGCGATCCTTAAACGGTAAAGAGATTTGATAATGCCCGTTTCTCAACTCCACCGTCTGTTCGGCGATTTGCATAAATCTACGTTCGTCTTGAGACATCTCTGTCTTGCTATCAACGGTGGGATCGGTAAAATCGCGATTGTAGAAGTCTTCTATCATCTGTTGGAGCCGGTGATCGACTTTAGCAACAAAAGTGGATGACCGTGAACTATGGTGACGACGGCCCAAGGGACCATTTACCGCCCAGCCGATTCGAGTTCTTGAAGCATAAGGACCACCGTCTTGACTGTGACATCAAGTGGATCGAGAGCCCTGGGAACGTCACTAGCAATCAAAAGGCCAACCTCAGCGTTGAGACGAGGCAGAAAAACTCCTTGCAGTGGGGCCACTGGTCAACGTCGTCCTGAGTTGGAATGTCGCTGCTGGACACAGGAATCTCCGGCCTGGTGTAAAGGGTCGGGAGGCTAATCCACTCGTTCTCGTCCAAATCGGATACAAGAAGATCGCGAACCAGGAAGCTGTTGGTGATGCTGTTTTCCTTCTCAAGAGTAGACAGGGATATCTTAACTTGCTGACCATTAATCCCGAGCTGTTTCATGAGCGATTCAGTACAGAAACTGGAGTTGCTACCGTTATCCAAGAAGGCGTAGGTGATGACGCTCTTATCACTATCTTTCGCTCTTACTCTGACTGGTATTATGGCCATGCCTGTCCTACGACCCTCTCCTGAAGTCTCACTGTTGGCACTGGTGCCCGTTTTTACCATGTGACTACAAACTTGAGTGCTGATTACGTCTTCCGTGCCCACTCCAACGTCAACAGCTGGTCTCTCACGAGGGCTTGTATGTAAAAAAGTAGGATGCCGACCTTTACAGTTCGCAATCTTGCAATTTTTCCTCTGCGGGCAAAACTTTGCGACGTGTTCGGTGGATAAACATCCAAAGCACAGCTTTTTGGACAACAGGAATTGAATTCTCTCTTGATAGGGTTTCCACCGCAATGACTGACAATCCTCAAGGGCGTGGTTTCTGCTACAATAGAGACACCGATTTCTCCCTTGTGAGGGACCCTGATCGATTCCAGATGGCTGAACCTTACGAGTCTGACGTCTCTGCTCTCCATCGGCGCGTTGACTTGGCTCCTTATTACCCTGCGGAATCGTTTCACTGGTATGACCTTCACTATCGCCTACATGTGCTAAGAGACTGAGATTCCTGGGATTGGATGTCTTGCCACCGGAGGACCGCTGACCAGGCGCCGATCTTACGGTATCGGATATCTTGCCAAAGACTGGGTTGGTTAGTATTCTTGCTTCGCCATCAACAAAGGCAACGAAGTCACTGAACTGTACTGGCCTTAACTGTCTGTCCATGATGTCATCAGCTAAGCGACGCCATCTTTCTCTCATGCTGTAAGGAATCTTGAGCACCAACTTTTGAATGTTTGCTGGCTGATCAAACTTAGAAATGTACTGGCTACCTGCCAATGCGTTCTTGCAACTTGCGAGAAAGACTGAAAAACGATTCAAAGCCACACCATCTTCTGCCTTTATGCTCGGCCAGTCCAGGGCCTTCGTCTCGTAAGCGGATGCTATGCGATAATCGTCACCATACTTCCTTCTCAAAAGCCTACGAGCCTCGTCGTAACCTTCTTCCGCTGGTAAATGATACAGGATCTTACAAGTTCCTTAACGTCCCCTGCGGTGAACTGCTCAAGGTAATAGAGTCTATCAGTACTGCTAAATGTTCTGGATTCAACCAAATTTTCAAAAGCGCGAACGAAGGTGCGGTACTCAATAGGGTTTCCGTCAAACACAGGAACACGGGGCTGCGGAAGTTTGTTCCTATTCTGATTATGCGCTAGCAATTCCATTATTCTATTCTGCTGAAACTGAAGAGCAGTCTGTTGCCGCTGCAAACCAATCGTTTCCTTTCTCAGATCCTCGCCGACTGTACAAGCTTGATAATCAAACTGGCCGTAAGGAACAGAATCCATGGACACGCCCTGGCCTGGGTGACGCACCTCGCCTGGAAAAGACCTTTTCGCGCGGGGGCTGGTACGAGGGGGATCCTGATCCTGAAGCTCTGTCTCCAATTTTAAAGGCTTCACCTCCGGTAGAGAAGGGGAGGTCATTGCTGCGTAGACCCTCTCCTTAGCTGTTGTCTTGACCATTTCGGCTTCGAGGTTAAGGCGTAATTCTTCCTGCTGTAAACGAAACTTTTTCTCTTCGAGTGTTTGGCGCTTTTCGAGCATAGAAATTTCAGCTTTTAACTCGGCAATTCTTGCGGCTTCTTTGGCTCTCGCGGCTGCAACTGATGAAGCACGACCACCACGTGAACTTGCTCGACTTGAATGTTTTGAAACCTTGGAAGCACCTGAAGGAATTGTTGTGCCAGCACAACTAATTGAATCCTCGGGATTCACTGCCGAATCTACTTGAAGCGATTCTGCTAATAACTTGTGTTCAATGTTAATTATCCAATCGACGATCTCCTGACGGAACACACGAACCTTTCTCTCTTTGTCTTCAAGATAGCGTTGACCCTCAATAATGGCGTTCTCATCCAGAATTTCTTCGACGTAATCGCGATTGGCCTCTTTAAATCTTTCAAAGGCGTTGTCGAAGTAAGGAAGCTTCTCTTTAACCTCCTGAAGATTATGATCACCAGTAAGCAAGCCAGAAATTTCAATGGAAATGGCGGTTACGGTAGATAGGTGACCAGACCTTGAATTTTTCTTTAAACGAAGTGTTTCCAGGTTAGACGCTTCAAAATCCAGCGAACGGTTTGGTTGTCGTACGCGTGTTCCAACTCGCCGGGCGACGGGATCTGTAAGCTGCTTGCGGCTAAAGCTCATGACGAAACGACATGTCACCAACAATTTTCAACGATGAAACTGCAAAAGCGTAAAGTCTCTTGGCCTTAATGACAACGCCACGAACCAAATAAGAATGAAGATTTATTGAGTGCACATACAAACGGCGTGGGTTGAAACTAAAACGGTAAAAAAGTAAAAAAGTTACAAGTTGCGACTAAAGTAAATTAGAGTAAAGAAATAACAAAACTGCAAAACGAGGACTGTGAAATACACTTACATTGTTTCGGTCAGAGAAAACTGCTGAAGCGGACTGCGAATAACGCGAAGCTAGGGACTCGCAAGAAACTAAAACAGAACTGCGCTAAGCGCGAACCAAAAATGAACTGCCCAAACTGTACTGCAAAATTACGATATATGAAAAATACGCTAGAACATGCGGAAAATAAAACTATAGAAACTTAGAAAGGCGCTAATGAAGATGAAACAGCAAAGAAACGCTAACGAGGGCGCGAAAACTGACAAAAAGGAATAAACACCTAAATTAACGCAAAAAAAAGACTAAACAAAAGGACGAAAAGAAGTATAAACTAATTTGCGTACGCAAAGGAAAAACAAATTACGCAAAAACGAATAATAGGAAAAATGTTACACTTGGATCTTACAAATACGAAATATTCCGATTTCATTGATGGTAAATATTTCTTGAGAAATTAGCGCTTAAAAGGACCCTACTGTTCAAAGAAAATCGCGTCTAGTAAAAAGTTTTGCTGGTATTTTTTACTGAAATTTCTGGTATCGGCTTTAATTGATATAATAAATATGCCAGAGGAATTTCAGAAAAATCGTTGGAGCAGAAGTCCGTAACTAAAGGTCGCTCAAAATTCAGCTGTGAAATTGTTTTGGAATTTCAAAAATAAATTACCATCAGGAAGAAGGAGCCACCAGTTTGAATTTTCGGGACAAGTAAATTCAACGTTTGCTAATTCTTAAAACAAGAGCCGATTTCCTATCGTGCTATTCTTTAAAAGGTACTTTTTAGTTTTAGAAGCACTATAAATTGCTCCAAACCTTGCTCTGAAGTAGAATGACTTGTTCTTCGACATTTTTAAAATATCCCTTGGCAGTTTTGGTTCAAACTCCTGCTGCATACATTTTGATGTATTGCAATGCATTTTCAACGACTTTTACTGCTGTTCGTTGCTTCCAACTCAGGAAAAAAGTATTGAGATTGGAAGCTACCCCATATCAGAGCTCAGATAGAACTGTCCAGCACCTTTGTTTATGACTACAAAATGAGCACGGGCAGCGGTTCTGCGTGAAATTCGCACCTCACCCAGGGGGGACGAACGACCACGATGACCATGCCTGTGACCCGAATAACATCACAGTGCAAAATAAAATTATCGCAAAAATACTGCCTGTGATTAAATTTACAACTCTGAAATTTTTGTCACTCCTTTCTTCAATGAATGGGTATTATTATGTTTTGCTCTACAATACATGTTTATACAGATCGGTTCACAGACATGGGCATCATTGTCATTCGCCCCCCCTGGCTGAGGTACGAATTCCTCGCAGAACCGCCGCCCGTGCTCATTTTCTGGTCATAAACAAAGGTGCTGGACAGTTCAATCCAATCTCAATACTTTTTTCCTGAGTTGGAAGCAACGAACAGCAGTAAAAGTCGTCGAAAATGCATTGCAATACATCAAAATGTATGCAGCAGGAGTTTGAGCCAAAACTGCTAAGGGATATTTTAAAAATGTCGAAGAACAAGTCATTCTACTTCAGAGCAAGGTTTGGAGCAATTTATAGTGCTTCTAAAACTAAAAAGTACCTTTTAAAGAATAGCACGATAGGCAATCGGCTCTTGTTTTAAGAATTAGCAAACGTTGAATTTACTTGTCCCGAAAATTCAAACTGGTGGCTCCTTCTTCCTGATGGTAATTTATTTTTGAAATTCCAAAACAATTTCACAGCCGAATTTTGAGCGACTTTTAGTTACGGACTTCTGCTCCAACGATTTTTCTGAAATTCCTCTGGCCTATTTTTATATCAATTAAAGCCGATACCAGAAATTTCAGTAAAAAATATCAGCAAAATTTTTTACTAGACGCGATTTTCTTTGAACAGTAGGGTCCTTTTAAGCGCTAATTTCTCAAGAAATATTTACCATCAATGAAATCGGAATATTTCGTATTATTGCCGAATGATATCTGTTGTTCTTTGCAAAGTTTCGCAGCCATCGCGTTAAAAACCAAAAAGTTATGACGGAAAATTTGTCACAGCTAAATGCTCTTGTATTAATTACGGAGCCACCTTAAGTTACCTATGTTATTGTATCTAATTTTCTATTTCTTTTATTTCTCTTTCTTGACTGCAAAATATTGGTCAGTCAACGTATTCATCTCAAATTAAAATTTACAATATTCGTGACGTTGTTAAAACTGTTAAGGGAAGCCCCCAATATGTGTTATTAAAAACCGTTTAAACATGGAATTTATAATCAACCAATCAAAATCACTATTCACCTCCTAAGCGAGGCAGAAGCTAATTTCTTGGGTTTTTAAAAAATAGAGACAGGTGCATATAACGCTAAAGACGACTTTTTTACATCTTGATCAACAGGAAATCGAGAAAAAATGGATTAGTAAAACGAACAGGAATTTATCATAAAATGCCAATAATTTATTCCATGGTTAGAATTGCGCTACATTTAAAGTGAACACATGCAACGAGTTTGTTTGGACTATACACTCTAAGTTTAAGCTTTTACAATCTAAAATACATTTTGCCAAGTCGACCAACTTCAGGAGAAAGCTATTTTCCTTTTAAGGCTCTTTTAATATCACGCTTAAAGAAAGCGTATGCCAAAGGGTTTATTGCAGAGTTCAGAACTATCATAGGTATTTTGTACGCAAAGTCAATTTTACACGAAAGGTGGTGAGTCGGGTTTCCTAAAAATTTAATGTGAAGAATATAAATGCTACATCGCAAGTAAATTGCGTAACAAGCTAGAGCGAAGCCTACCACAACTGCCAACATTACAACTGCTGATTTGTCATATGCGTTGAATGTCAAACCTCGGTGGTTGAAACGTAACTGTTTTGCTAAGATGGCTGATGATCGAGTTTGCTTGTATACAGCTGTTAATATGGAAATAAAACAGAAGCTTAACATGCAGATGAAGAAAATCTCGAGGATCGCAAACTGTACGGCTAAGAGCATCGAACATATCGAAAATGTTAAATATAAAGTCATGAAAAGAGACCAAATTTCAAGACCAAGAGGAATCACCCAAGAAATAAATGTTAGTTGGGTTACTCGTCGCGCAGTCATGAAGGTGACGTATTTCAGTGGCTTTACAATAGCCATATACCGATCTAGTACCAGGCTGCACAGGTTCATTATAGAGGCGTACTGAAAGAGCCACCTTATAAATTCCACCCAGGACGCATAGGTTTGAGGCCAATCGCAGCCACCTCTGATGTGACAGACGAACAGTGAAGGAACAACGAACGCCCCAACACAGAAATCCGCCACCGCAAGTGAAACGATGAACGCGTTGGTTTTGGTGCGAAGCCGACGCCGACTGCTTACAAGAAGCACGGTGAAACCATTTCCAGCCATCGTCAGAATGGACAGAATCCAGCCAAGAATCCAAAACCAAGTTCCCATTTTATATTCGGTACAGAGCGTTAGCTGGGCGGTCAAGTTTATGTCTTTGAAAGAAACCGGTTTGGTTATTTTATAAACATATGGTAACGTTTGTCCCTTATCTGACAAACATGATATATCGTACGTCAATTTATTATTGCTACGTTAATTGCAGGAAAGCAAAAGCATTTAGACCAATAAACGAAAAACAACTCAACAATTTTCTTTAGACTTAAGGCTCCTATTATTAAATGCAATAAGCCGCTCTGTCGCTCTGTCTTATTTTGGCTTGATTCATCTGTAAACCGATGTTAATTATAGTAATCAAAAAAATAAAAAAAAGAGCGAATTAAACTTTGTTGGATGTCAACAAATAAATAAACGTTTAATAAGCAAATTGTGGAAATTCCCTTCCTCTTTTGGCTTCAGTCGTCATTGGATGGCATACATTTAATAAAACAATAAATATTCTACAGTGTATATTCAGTCTACAGTTTCTGGTGAAAGCTAGTTATTAATCAACGCTACTAAGGACTGCAGATGGGCAAAAATTGCATGTTTGTCATTGTTGCAGCCATCTTTAATTTCTTCTCTGCTTGGTAAGCACACGGACCGAAATGTCTAGATGAAACCCGGGGGGAGGTACTCTTGGGAATTCTTGGGGGGGGGGCTTGCCGCCCGGTTATCCAAGTCCTGACTCTATTTCAGACCAAAAAATGTCGTTTACCACACCAGTGTTCAGACCAGACCTCTAAAATACATACCCGTTTTCAGACCTGGCCTTAAGGCAAAAATTATGTCATCATTACTTAAATTAGAGGGCAAAAAAAAAAAATCGTCAAATGTATTTCGAATTGCCATATTTCTAATTCGTTCTTATTCATTTGGAATTGAAACGATAGATACGTTCATACGCTCCCGTAGTTCCCTCGAAAACCATACCCGATTCCAGACCAAAATGGTCAAAGTGTATAGTAGCCGTTTTCAGACCAAAAAGGTCCAAAAACCAATGCCCTTTGGGGCGGCACATATATACCTATAGTTCCAGCGAGACTTTGGAACCTTAAACTGAAAACGTCCTTCTGTTTTACATATTATTTTCAGATGATTTATGGTAATTTTTGTCATTTATTCAAGAAATGTCATTTTGAACAAACGTCGCCCTGCCGCATCGAGCAACCTAAGAGGCAAGTTATTGTCCTTTTAATGCCCGTTTACTGTCACGCTTGAATAAAGCGTAAAAGCCAGAGGATTTGTGGCCGAGTTTAGAACAAACATTGGTATTCTATATTTGAAGTCATTTTTACACGAAAGGTGAGTTGTATGGTTTTCCCAAATCTGAACAAACCCACATCGCAATTAAATTACGCACCAACAGGGTCTAAGTAAGTTGCCAGGGGCCACTGAGCACTGCTAGAGCACAGCCTTCTGATGAGCTGGCCTCCCAGAAGCAAGGAAACAGCAATTTATTAACACAGGAACACCGAGCTAACGACTGGGCTGCCTGTGAGATATCGTCCAGAAGGATCTGGGGCTGAGGTCAAAACTAGGCACCAGGCCGTGTCATTTACTAAATCTAATATGGCGGATAAAATAGTCCGTGTTTGTATTCTCTATTTTCCAATTCCTCATAATACACTCTGTTTGCCCCCCAAATTTTGCATAAACCATTGTTTTTAAATGCTCCTGGGAGTATTGCATTTTCCCAAGAGCATTTTAAGACAATAAGTTATGCAAAATTTGGGGGGCAAACAGAGTGTATTATGGGGAATTGGAAAATAGTCAATTCGTCTTGATATTGGAGGATTATTTGTGATTAATGCTGCTGGGGAGTTATTTCCCCATCAGGCTTGTAAGCAAGTTAACGCTCTAAAAGATGAAAATGGCATCCTCGTAGACGTTCCTGAGACATGCCGCGAACAGTTTAAAGAAGTAGACGTGAAATTAGGTTTGAAGAACAGTGCACAGAAAGTGACTTTATTTGTGAATGAAGGTTTTCATGCTGTGTCTGCCGGTTCGACATGGTTTCCCGCGGGAGCAGTGATAGGTTTGCCAAGGTGGTATTTGTATCAAACTGAAGAAGAAGTTGCAACTTCCGGTCTGAAATTCCAAGGGAGAAATATCCAGTGGGATTCAGAATTCGGAGAAACTGTGAAATTTTGTTATGTTCCTACGTCAGATATGATCGCTTTCACCATTGGTTACTCCTCTGAAAAATGGTATAATTGCTCATTTTTAAAGAATTTTTACCCCAAGAAGGTCACCTAGAATTTTCGGGAGCCTTTTTTCTGGCTGAAAATTTTTGAAAAGGTAAGTTTTGATCCCTATAATTTTCTGATCACTAGACTTTCAGCTAGGAAATCCGAAGAGATGAAAAATGTTTACGGGATAAAAATATGCCTATATGACCGTTTAAATACTAAAATACGTTTAACAATGCTATGTTTAATATAAGTGGTTTTGAAATATATTCTCGTTGGGTCCCCCTGGGCTGTGTGCTTTAACTTTTTTGAATTTGCCACAGTGACAGGGGATGAAACAGGACTTACATCCCAATTGCTTTTGAAAGGGTATACCACACCTCCATGGTCTATGCCCACTACTCTTTACAAACAGCAGTGTGGGTTCTATACACTTTTCCCTTTGGCTTTGACATGTAAATAAACAGATGTAAACTTATTTATTTATTTATTATTTATTTTATTTTATTTTATTTGCCACACAATAATTACAAAAAATATAGGAAAAGAAGAAAAAAAGAAGTGGCGAAGAGACCTAACAGAAACTATAGGAGCTTATGAGAGGTTAGGCCTCCTCGAACTATGAGATAGAGCTGTTTCACATCAATTGAAGAAAAGAATTGGAAAAGTCGAAGATGGAAAGCCTTATGAACTGTTTTAATACTTACTCAATAATTTAATCTTCAGTTTTTTCTTAAAAGAGGAGAAGGATTGAGAGTTGATGACCTTGTTGTCAAGTGAATTTAAAAACTTAGGCACTTGAAAAAAGGGAGAACTTCTTCGTAACTTAAGTTACCTGTGTTATTGTATCTAATTTTCTATTTCTTTTATTGCTCTTTCTTGACTGCAAAATATTGGTCAGTCAAGGTGTTCATCTCAAATTAAAATTTACAATATTTGTGACGTTGTTAAGACTGTTAAGGGAAGCCCCCAATAGGTGTTATTAAAAACCATTTAAACATGGAATTTATAATCAACCAATCAAAATCACTATTCACCTCCTAAGCGAGGCAGAAGCTAATTTCTTTTTTTTTTTTAAATAGAGACAGGTGCATATAACGCTAAAGACGACTTTTTTTACACCTTCATCGACAGGAAATCGAGAAAAAATGGATTAGTAAAACGAACAGGAATTTATCATAAAATGCCAATAATTTATTCCATGGTTAGAATTGCGCTACATTTAAAGTGAACACATTCAACGAATTTGTTGGGAGTATACACTCTAAGGTTAAGCTTTTACAATCTAAAATACATTTTGCCAAGTCGACCAACCTCAGGAGAAAGCTATTTTCCTTTTAGGGCTCTTTTAATATCACGCTTAAAGAAAGCGTATGCCAAAGGGTTTATTGCAGAGTTCAGAACTATCATAGGTATTTTGTACGCAAAGTCACTTTTACACGAAAGGTGGTGAGTTGTATGGTTTCCTAAAACTTTAATGTGAAGAAAGGTACATCGCAAGTAAATTGCGTAACAAGATAGAGCGAAGCCTACCACAACTGCCAACATTACAACTGCTGATTTGTCATATGCGTTGAATATCAAACCTCGGTGGTTGAAACGTAACTGTTTTGCTAAGATGGCTGATGATCGAGTTTGCTTGTATACAACTGTTAACATGGAAATAAAACAGAAGCTTAACATGCAGATGAAGAAAATCTCGAGGATCGCAAACTGTACGGCTAAGAACATCGAACATATCGAAAATGTCAAATATAAAGTCATGAAAAGAGACCAAATTGCAAGACCAAGAGGAATCACCCAAGAAATAAATGTTAGTTGGGTTACTCGTCGCGCAAAGACGTATTTCAGTGGCTTTACAATAGCCATATACCGATCTAGTACGAGGCTGCACAGGTTCATTATAGAGGCGTACTGAAAGAGCCACCTTATAAATTCCACCCAGGACGCATAGGTTTGAGGCCAATCGCAGCCACCTCTGATGTGACAGACGAACAGTGAAGGAACAACGAACGCCCCAACACAGAAATCCGCCACCGCAAGTGAAAAGATGAACGCGTTGGTTTTGGTGCGAAGCCGACGCCGACTGCCCACAAGAAGTACGGTGAAACCATTTCCAGCCATCGTCAGAATGGACAGAATCCAGCCAAGAATCCAAAACGAAGTTCCCATTTTATATTCGGTACAGAGCGTTAGCTGGGCGGTCAAGTTTATGTCTTTGAAAGAAACCGGTTTGGTTATTTTATAAACATCTGGTAACGTTTGCCCCTTATCTGACGAACATGATATATCAATCAATCAATCAATCAATCAATTAATCATTTATTTTAACAAGTTACGTCAAAGAGCTAAAAAATTCGTTCAAAATACGAACGTATATAAATAAAATCTATAATAATTACGGCTATGTTATAATATTATTCAATTTTAAAAACAACTCAATAAATATATACATATAAAAAACTTGGTAATTAAAACATAAAATATAAAAAGCTAAAACCGACTAAAAAGCCACATACTTAAAACGTGACTAGGAAACTATAATACTCGTTCTAAATAGCTGCAATCGTGCACTTTACTGCTGAAGTCATTAGCATCATTTGAAAGACGCACTTGAGAAGGCGAGCTGTTCCATAACATAGTTAATAAATAAGTGAAAGAATTCTTCTTAAATTTAAGATTAAAGTTAGGTAATTCCAAATTCAAGCCCTCGCCTCTTAGCCTATACGGTGTATGCCTGTATTTAAAAAGGCTTCCAATATAAGTAGGTCCTGTACCATTTAAGCATTCAAAAAGAACAAGTATTAACGCCTGGGGTAAGCGCCTACAATAAAAGGATGTCATATATCGTTCGTCAATTTATTATTGCTACGTTGATTGCAGGACAGCAAAAGCGTTTAGACCAAACATTGAAAGGTCGTTTTCAACTAGGTTCTTACTTACATTTAATGAAACTTCCGCTCAACTCAACTAAAAACAATTTTCTGGAGACTTAAGGCTCCTAATATCAAATGCAATAAGACGCTCTGTCGCTCTGTCTTATTTTGGCTTGATTCATCTGTAACAACCGATATTAATTGTAGTAATCAAAAAACTAATAAATAGAGCGAATTAAACTTTGTTGGATGTCAACAAATAAATCAACGTTTAATAAGCAAAGTGTGGAAATTCCCTTCCTTTTTTGGCTTCAGACGTCATTAGATGGCATACATTTAATAAAACAATTTATATAAACATTAATGAAATACCAGGTGAGCTTTCGCGCGAAACTTTGATATCTTCACATGTGAAAATAACATGTTATCTTCACATGTGAAAATATCACCGTTGCTATGGCTTCATAATAAATCGCGCCTTTCACACCAAAAAACTATAAAAAGTGAAATGGTTTGGTACTTCATTGGTGTTTATATAATAAGCGTAAGCCAGAGGATTTATGGCCGAGTTTAGAACAAACAATGGTATTTTATATTTGAAGCCATTTTTACACGAAAGGTGAGTTGTGTGGTTTCCCAAAATCTGAACAAACGCACATCGCAAGTAAATTGCGCAACAAGCTAGAGCATGCAGCTGAAGAAAATCTCGAGGAGCGCAGAGCATACCCTTACGACTATTCTACATGAAGAAAATGTTAGATACAAAACCATGAAAAGGGCAAAAATTACAAGACAAAGAGGGATAACCGAAGAAATTGATGTAAGTTGACACATCGCGCAGTCATGATGGCGACTTTTTTTAGTGGCTTCACAACAGCCATATATATACTGATCAAGTGCTAAGCTGCACAAGTTCGTTATAGAGGCGTACGCAAAGAGCTACCTTATAAAATCCACCCAGGACGCATAGGGTCGAGGCCAGTTGCAGCCACCTCTAATGTGACAAAAGAACAGTGACGGAACAACGAACGCCCCAACACAGAAATCCGCCACTGAAAGTGAAACGATGAGGGCGTTGGTTTTGGTGCGAAGCTTTCGTTGACAGCTCACCAGAAGCACAATGAATCCATTTCCAGTTATCGTCAGAATGGACAGAATTCAGCCAAGAATCCAAAACCACGATTCCATTTTATTATCGGTACAGATCTTTAGCTGAAAGTAGTACGTTGAGTTCCTTGAAAGAAAAGTATGACAACTTTAATCTATTAACATCTGGCAACAATTGCGGCGTCTTCAGCTTCTTATCATACGAGCATAATAAGCGTATAAGTCAATTTGTGATTGCTAAGTTGAGACCAATATAGAAGGTTGTTTTCAAGATGTTGTTCTTGAAATTTAAATGAAGCTCTTAGCTCAACGAAAGACCATTTTGTGGATACTCAGTGTCGCTCCCCTTGGCAATTAACGCTCCGGCATCCTTTTCTATTTTATTATGGACCACTCGTTGATAATTCTTGTATCATATAATTCTTAATTCTTGTATAATAATTCTTATATTAATCGAAGAAAAAAAAAACGAACAAAATAAGCGATTAAATTTCTGTTGATGACAAAAAATCCAAGCAACTTTTATGCAAAGCATGGAATTTTGAATCCGCTTACTATTCTGGCTGGTGACGACACATAAATGACATCAGTAGGAACTAATTTTGTTTAGATTATTGATAATGCAGAGAAATCATGTGAACTTTCTGAATTCTGTATTAGGAAAAAAAAGGTAAAGGTGGCTTTTCTTTTCTCGAAGGAGAAAACTCACTAATGAAATGAGCGAATAACTTTTGTTGATGACAATAAGTCACTCAACGTTTATGCAAAGCATTGAATTCGAAATCCCCTTTCCCTTTCGGCTGGTAATGTCATAAAATAATTATATTTCCACTAGTGACAGTAGTACACAAAAAGCGAGTATACTGAATTCTGTATTTGAAGAAAGAACTAAACTAGATAAAGCTGGCTTATCTTATATCTTGTTGTTTGTTTCATTACTGTTAGGCGATTGGGAAGGGATCAGGATATCTTAACAAACTAATTCCTAAACCTAGCTACCGATATGAATAGGATTTTGAGTGATTCGTCTATGTCACAATGGCATAACTTGAAAAAACGTAGTCTTATGTTGTTTGAGTTCCAGTCGATTCAAAGGTAGAAACACTCTATTTTCTAACAGTTAAAATGGTCTAAAACGGAACATGAAATGTATTTACTATCACGTGCAATTTCTTGTTAGTTTCCGATTCATATCAGCACCACATAAGTCCGTTTTCCTAGTCACTTATCTCAGTGGTAATATTATGATAATTATCCTTCCGAAGGTTCTTCTCTTCAGACAATATTTACACATCAGTCTTTTTATCTCTTTGTTTACGTCCCTTTGTAAAAGGCATAAGCAGCTGGGTTAATGGCATCGTTTAAAACCAACGTCGGTATAGGAGTCGTCTCTTCATTGATTCTATGTGGAAAAGATTAACTAATACTACATCGCAAATATATTCCACAGCAAATTAGAAAAAATCCCGCGACAATCGGGCGCCATCTTTGAGAATGCCGATTTGTCGTGCTTGTTAATTGTCAATCCTCTCAGCTGTTTTGCCACCATTCCTACTGATCGGTCTTGTTGGTATACAACAATTGCTATTTAGAAAATAGCTCAAATAGGATAGGTAACAGGCTTACTACTTATTTGAACGTATGGCGCCAGTGAATGTGATTACAGAAGTACGAGAGTCGTCACAAGGCAAAAAGAGATCGCCTAAGAAAAAAATATAATATGAAAAACGCGACGACCTGCAGTCATGCAAGTTGAATATTTCAAAGGCTTCGCAAAGGCATTGTACCTATCCAATACCAAACTACAAAAGTTCGTCAGAGAGGCGTAGCTAAACAGCAGTCTTATAAAAAATTGCCCCTAAATATCCCCACTGGAACCTAATTTAACATCGTATACGAACATGTTGGGAATAACTCCCCCAACAGAGAGATCTGCCACTGCAACTGAATTTATGAACCAGTTCGTTTTGATGCGGAGCTGTCGTCTGGCTGTAGTTGAAGGGGGCTGTTGTACAGAAACTTTGGACCCGTCCGGTGTGCCTTGCGCGTGCTCTCTCTACTTGCTTCTATTGATCGTGTAGCTAGATCTGCAGGGTTAATATTGGTACAGCAACGTACTTCCATTGATGTGAAGCTGACGAGCTACAAATGCGTTCCACGCGGTTGCTAACATATACATAGAATCGACGGGATTCATTTGTGATGTAACCCAGTATGAATTTGCTGTCCGAGTAGTAGGTCACCGAATCCGGTTTCTGTTCGAGTTCTCTGTGGACAAGCTCAGTCATCTCAACCCCCAAAACGGCTGCCCAAAGTTCTAAGCGAGGTATTGTTGTGGCATGGGCTGCTGTCAACTTGGCTTTTCCGAGCCCAAATGTTACTTGAACCTCGCCGGTGTTGTTAACAATTCTTATAGGTATGATACTGCGCTGCTTGCCATTTCGGAGGCATCGCAGAATGTTTACATTTCCATGCGAGCGGAACATTTTCACGCCTCTGTACCGTAAGAGCGGGGAAACTTGATATCTTCTAGAAGTCGAAGAGAATGACAGTCAGTATTCTTTCCATTCAGCCTCCCGTTTTGCAGCTAGAGGGTAGTCCCAGGCATTCGGGTACGAGGCGCTAAATTCCGTACTCAGTGATCTGAGTAAGTGTTTTCCTTTAATGATGACCGGTGTGCAAGGCCTAGGGGATGATACAGGCTTTTGGTAACCTACACAATTCCTTGTCGTGTAAATGGTTTTCTTCTAGCAGCACTTAGAAGGTGAAAGAATCAGACTTTTAGTCCCTGTACACTCCTAATGATTGCTGCATGGGAACTGGGCCTTTGTTGAAGTCTAGGTTGTGGAGGCTACTTACATGATCGTCAGGTGGGAAGGCTTCCATTACTTCAGCGTGACTTAGGGCAATTTTGGGATGGCGAAGGTTTGCAGTGGCTAGCATGGCCTGAGTGCGACGTAGCAAATCTATTGCCCTGGTTGAATCCGGAGCGGAATGGAGGCCATCGTCTACGTTAAAAAAGTGTTTACGAACGACTTTACGTCTGAACCGAACTTGGCTTCTCCTATCTCAACTCAAAAGTCTGACGTAGGGTGTAGGTAGCTACTGCCGTGGTGGCAAAGTGTTCCCGAAGATATCGACTTTCATTCTGTACTCCGTTATCATGCTGTTTGGGTCTTTATCCTTGTATCACAGAAACCGTAGAAAGTCTCTGTATTCCTCCTTGAAAGAGTGAACATTTGCTCAATGTCGGCTACCGGAGCGACTGGATCCTGACAAAAACGTAACAGCACCCCAAGAACGTTGTTAGTGAGGTCAGGACCCGACAATAACAGCTTGTTAAGAGACATCCCGTTAGATTCGGCAGCTGCATCGAAGACTACACGTATTTTGTCATTCTATTTAGGGTAATATAAGCCGAACTGAGGTAGGTACCAACAAAGTTTCTGTGGTCTAAGATTTTCCAGCGGAACAATTTCAGCATGATTGCAATCGAAAATCTTCGGCATGAAAGTAAAATAGTGTTCCTTCATAACTGGGTTTTTATCTAGGGTTCGACGTGTAGACTTAGGGCGTTTCATAGCATTCACTCGGCTACGGGGAAGATCCTTGACGTCCTGCCGGAAGAGCAGTGGAGCTTCCCAGCTTCCGTTTTCATTCTTTTTCATAACATCCTCTATGATTTTCGGGAACCTGCGATCCTCTGTAGAAATTCCGTGATTTGTACGTACGAACACGTTGCATCCTAGGCTGTCGTCAAAGGGGTTGCCTATGGGGGATGTGTTTTCCTCTTGCTCGCCCAGGCTGTTGGAGCGGTATCGTGCTTATTATAGAAGCGGTTTGGACAGGGGATGAACTGTGAGGGTCGACCGTTGTAGAGGACTTGGGTCTTGAAAGTAGAGATTTTTACCGGTTTGTGGGCGCCACCAAGGCATCCAGGGAACTTAAGCACCAGACGTTCTTGATTCACGAACGAGATGGCTGGCCGCGCAGAACTGGATCGGGGACGCGGTTTACGCGCCAAATGCAAATCATTAAGCAAGCCAACGTGAAACCATCACGAATGCCGACAGAATAATTCAGTTGAAGATGTCTTTCAAAGATTCTACTACGCTTGTAAAGTTCTAACATAACAAAAGAACACACAAGGATTGAAAACTGTTATATTGGACATCAAATGTTGACAATTTTAACTGTGTTCATACTAACGTTTCTGAACATCTGGTTTCAACCTGAGAAATCTCGTTTTGAAGTCCGTGACTGCAGCCCAAGAAGGTGTTGACATGCGTAGTGGCTGCCATGCTGCAAAAATACTTCCGGTTGGCGTCCGTGGTATCAAGAACGTCTGGTGCTTAAGTTCCCTAATATTTCCAAGTACTACCCAACCTAACTCCAACCGCTAGCCCCAAGACGTGTTTCTGGGTCCGCTGCGTGACTCATGAACCTTGTGCAGTCGGGAATTTCTCCCCCGACAAGCAGTAAAACCTCAGCTTCTTTATCAAGTGTGGGAATCTTGTTTGCTATCTGAAATAGGTGCGGGTGTGCTCGTGCGTCCTCTGCGCACTTAGAAAATCACGTTTCCCTAGGTAAACTGTCAACAAGTCGAGTTTATCTAGG